GATGTACCACAGTTTATTCATTCATCTACTATAGGACATCTTGGGTACTTCCAGGCTTTGGAAATAATAAATAAAGCTGTTATAAACATTTGCATGCAGGTTTTTGTGTGGACATAGGTTTTCAGCTCCTTTGGGTAAATAAATACCCAGGAGCACAATTGTTGGATTGTACAGTAAGATTTTAGTTTTTTCTAAAAAATTCCTAAACTGTTTTACAAAGTGGCTGTACTATTTTGCTTTCCCACCAGCAATGAATGAGAGTTTCTAATGATCCACATATTTGCCATCATTTGGTGTTGTGAGTGTTCTGGATTTTGGCCGTTCTAATATTTTGTCATTGTTTTTAATATGCATTTTCCTGATGATATATGGGGTAGAGAGGTGTAGAGCATCTTTTCATATGTTTATTTGCCATCTGTATATCTTCTTTGGTGAAGTCTCTGTTACGATCTTTGGCCTATTTTTAAACCAGTTTTTTTGTTGTTGTTGAATTTTAAAAGTTCATTGTATAGTTTGGATAAGAGTCCTTTTTAAGGTGGCCTTTATCAGATGTGTCTTTTGCATATATTTTCTCAGAAGTCCAGTTTACTGATTGTTTCCTTCATGGATCGTGCCTTTGGTATTGTATCTAAACAACCATAATCATATCCAAGGTCATCCAGATTTTCTCCTATGTTATCTTCTAGAAGTTTTATAGTTTTGCATTGTACGTTTTACTTACGTACCTCTAAGTGTATTACCCGTTTTTTAGTTAATTTTTGTGAAGGATATAAGGACTGTGTCTAGGGTTTTTTATTTTGTTTTTTTGTTGTTGTTGTTTTTGCATTAAGATGTCTAATTGTTCCAACACCATTTGTTGAAAAGACTGCATATGCCCCATTGTATTACCTTTGCTTTCTTGTGCTTTCAGTTAACTATATTTACGTGGATCTATTTCTGAACTCTGTTCTGTTCCATTGATCTATTTGTCAGTTATTTTACCAATATACTGCCTTGGTTACTATAGTTTTATATAGTATTGAAGATAGTGTCAGTCCTCCAGCTTTGTTCTTCAATATTGTGTTGGCTCTTCTGGGTGTTTTGTCTCTCGACATAAACTTTAATTTAATCAATATACATAAAATATTTTCCTGAGGTTTTGACTTAGATTTCATGAATCTACAAATCAAGTTGGGAAGAATGGACATCTTCATAATATTTAGTCTCCCTGTACATAACATGGAACATCTCTCCATTTATTTAGTCTTTTGATTTTGTTCTTCAGAATTTTGTAATTCTCCTCATATACATTTTATATTTTATTTGGGGGGATGCTAATGTAAATTGTGTTTTAAATTTTAAATTTCACTTGTTCATTGTTTTTATATAGAAAAGCAATTGACTTTTGCATACTAACCTTGTATTCTTCAACCTTGCTGTAATTACTTATCAGTTACAGGAGCTTTTTTGTCAGTTCCTTTGGATTTTCTACATAGACAATCATGTCATCCGTGAATGAAGACAGTTTTGTACCTACCTTTCCAATCTGTGTAATTTGTCTTACTGTGTTAGCTAGTATTTCCAGTATGATGTTAGAAGAGTGGTGAGAGCAGACGCCTTGCTTTGCTCCTGATCTTATTGGGAAAGCTGTAATTTCTCACTGTTAAACATGATGTTAGCAATGGATTTTTTGTAAATATTCTTTATCACACTGAGAAAGTTCCCCTTTATTCCTACTTTACTGAGAGTTTTTATCACGAATGAGTGTTGGTTTTGTCAAATGCTTTTTGTGCATCTATTGATTTGATCATGTGTGTGTTTGTTTTTGCCTATTGATATGACGGATTGCATTAATTGATTTTCAAGTGCTAAACCAACCTGCATATGTGAGATGAATCATACCTGATCATGGTGTATAATTCATTTTGTACATTGTTGGATTTGATTTGCTAATATTTCATGAATAATTTTTGCATTTTCATGAGAAACATTTGTCCATGGTTTTCTTATAATGTCTTTGGTTTTGGTTTTAGGGTGATGATGCTGGTCTCATAGAATAAGGAAGTACTCCCTCTGCTTCTCTCCTCTGAAAGTGATTGTAGAAAATTGGTGTAATTTTTTCGTAAATGTTTGGTAGAATTCACCAGTGAATCCATTTGTGCCTGGCGCTTTTTCTTTTGAAATATTATTAATTATTGATTTAATTTCTTAAATATAGGCCTATTTAGATTGTCTATTTTTTTTGTTTGAGTTTTGGCAAATTATGCCTTCCAGGGAACCTGTCCATTTCACTTAGGTTAGCAAATTTGTGGACATAAGAGTTGTTCATAGGATTTCTTTATGATCCTTTTAAAAGTCCATGGAATCTGTAGTGAGGTGTCCCCACTTTTATTTCTGATTTTAGTGTTTTATGCCCTCTTTTTCTTATTTAGCCTTACTAAAGGCTTATCAATTTTCTTTTCAAATAACCTGCTTTTGGTTTTATTTTTTTCTATAGATTTTCTGTTTTCAATTTTATTGATTTCTGTTCTAATTATTATTTGTTTTCTTCTACTTGGAATTTAATTTGCTTTTCTTTTTCTCATTTTCTAAGGACTAATAATTTTTAAACATTTTTATTTTCCTGGATACATGGATTCTTTTAGACTGTAATCCAGAGTTTCAAGGGTATTATGGTGATTAAGATAATACTTTTAATTTTTTATATATATTCCCAAACTGTGTTTTGAAATATGTCTCTTATTTGTTTATTCATGAGAATCTCAATAGATATTTTGGCTGACTTTGAGAACCATCATCAGAACCTACAGTTGTTGTCTATTAAATGCTTTATTTTGATTTAGGAGTACCTTTGAATGGACAAACTGGGGACATTGTATTAAAGAATTAACAAGCATATGAGAAGGGGACCCCAAAAAAACTGAAATTGTCTTCTGAAGGGTGGGTCCCTTGTAGTACAAGTTTTTCCCACTAGGTGGGTGTTCTAGGAACCCATCTGTATCAGTGTACTATCCAGCATGGTTGTGAGAGGCTGCACTCAGCTTCAGTGAATTTTTTTGAAGGCTCTTTCAACATATTAGCCCATTTCATGATGGTGATTTACAAGCGCACCTGCCCACACCATGCTAAGTGTTCAGCAGTTTTTGATTGATAATGGCATGGCACCAATGCCCCACCCTCCTTATTTACCTGATCTTGCCCTGAGCGACTTTTTTTGTTTCCCCCAAATGAGAAAAGTCCGCAAAGGGAAATGTTTTGCTGATGTGGAAGAGGTGAAACTAAAATCAGCAGAAGCACCTAGCATCAAAATCAACAGGTTCAAGAAGTGTTTTGAGCAATGGAGAAAACATCTCATAGGTGTGTTGCTTCTAATGGAGAGTACTTTGAAGGTGACTGAAGTTTAAACATGTAAGAGTAAATACACATTTTTTATAAATAAATTCTAGGTTTTTGGGGGTCCCCGTCTTGTATTGGCCAGATTAGGAATCGTTTTTCTTCTTCCTTTCCCAGAGTGTTTTGCTAAGTGTGTGCATTATTTGTGTAATGGGTGAAACCTGTGATCAAAGGAGAGCCAAGTGAGGAGGGGGAGTCAGCTGTGAATAGCAGGTGAAGGCAGGTGTTTGTTTATCTTTTTGATGCATTTAAGCACTTATCAGGTCAGTTGTTGTATTTTTCTTTCTCTGTTTTTGAAACTGTGATTATCCATTCTTCAGCACTGCCTTTTTGAGTTTCACAGAATAGAGGTGGTTTAAAGTATGTTTTGTTTCTACCACAGATTGAATTTACTCACATTTTGGAGGACAACGTAACCTCAAACAAATGGTGAAACTGGCATGCTAATAAAAAACTTTTATGGTTCTATCCATATTAAAGGGCTTAGAAAGCTTTTTAAAACATTGTTTCACATACATTTGTTTATTATTTTTATAGACATTTTTATAAACATCTTTGTGAGGCATGATAGGTACTTTTTAAATATAATCTCTCTCCTTTTTACCTAAAAGGATCTGAAAAGTCAGTATTTGTACTGAGCACCTTAATTAAACTTGTAATAAAATCACACATATATACATACATCCTTACTTGGCAAAAGACAGCTAGTGCTGACGAACCCAGATGAAACTGTTGTTCACATTTACAAAAGTGAGTCTTGTGTAAAGATACTGGTTGACATAATTTCTTTTGCATTTACCTATTCCCACTGGGCTATAAGATGTAATGTGATAGGCACTGGCTCTGCACACATTTGGGTTTACTAACAAATTATATAGCATTCAAAAATATTACCATTTGAGCTAATATTTGGAATAATGTGAAATATATATTACTCTGATATTAAATATTTTGTATCCAAAAATAATGTAATATTTAATATTTATCCTCTTAACTAAACTATTTCCGAGTTACTTGATTGTAAAAAACAAGTCTGATGATTTAATCATCTTTACTTTCTGCATATTTAGATAACTGGTAGGGTTCTTTGATAATGTGTTATTTTGCTTGAATGTTAGAAATATTGATAACTTTTTAAATTACATTCTATATTTAGAAATAGAAAGTGTGTGTGTGGGGTTTTTCTAAGGAAGAAACAGATGAGCGAGATGTATTTTATATTGAAAACCATAACCCCAGGGCCAGGAATCTAGGTACACCGGTTGGGAGCATGTGAAGAATGTTACTGATGACTATCAATTTATTTGTGGGCCACCCGCCTGCATGAAACACATTAATTTTTTAAAAATTTGTGATTTTAATGAGTATAAAACTGTATTTCACAATAAACTGAATCTTCAGAAGGTCAGTGATGCGCGTGCTTGCTGTGGTGTTTTGTTTTGTTTTTTTAATCACTTGAACAGTTACTACTTTTTTTTTTACCGTCCAGCATAATGGGATTTTTAAGCACTAAACATTCTAGTTATTTTATACTGTTTAGGATGCCATTTTGTATATTATTCTTACTCTCTTTTCTACATTGATTTCATGAGAATCACAACAAACATCTGTTTTTCTTTAATTTTTAGGCAAATACTGTGGTCTGGGGTTGCAGATGAACCATTCAATTGAATCAAAAAGCAATGAAATTACAGTGCTGTTCATGAGTGGAATCCATGTTTCTGGACGAGGATTTTTGGCTTCTTATTCAGTTATAGATAAACAAGGTAATTTTCACTTTATACCATAGCTCCTGCATTTTATAGTCTCTAAAAACAACAAAAAAATGTTTCAGTACCTGTTATCTAAATTTGGAATAGAGTAGAAGACAACAGTTAATAATAAGTACATAAATCTAACAAATAAAAGTAAATCAGTTTTAGAGTCTAATAATTAAAAATATGTTAACTTTTATATATAAAAGTCCATATATTTCCTTCTCATTAGTAAATACTGATTTTCTACTCTTTATAATATTGGAACACAAACAATAATAAGTTGTAAAAACCTGTCAATTACTGAAATATGTAGTATATCAATTTAAAGCTGTGTTATCTACATGTTACCATTTAATAGTACTGTGTTAAAGACAATGTTACCATTTTTCTCAAAGAATACAATCTCATATCACCAGAAATACATTGGTTGGTATCTGCATCATTATAAAATAAACATGAAATATTTTCCAAAAATGTAATGTTTAGAAGGATTGGCTAAAGTCAAGGTTATTACGTGGAATAAAATGCACAGTTGATCTGAGTCTCAAAGATGAAGTGCTAGACTTGAATGAAGTCTTTCCTGTGTTTTGGCCATTTGGTGTGTATTCATTCCTCCCTGCCCTTAAGGGTACTGTGGTGAGGAAAGTCAAGAAGTGTTGCTAGTACAAGGATATATCAAAACAGATATTTCAGTATTCAACAATAATTTATCTATGTTTACCACTTAAAATTTTAAATTTTTTTTAATTGTATAAGTGAGAAAATTGTCAAGAACCTCCCAGGTATGAAAATGTAGGCCCTGGGAATGACCAAGGGAAATGCAAACTGCTCCTTCTCGGCTATGGTAGTTTTGAAATAAATATTATATATTTCATTAAAAGTTTTGTTTAGAATGTGATAGAGAAGAAAGTTGTTCTTTGTGAGGAGGAGCTACTTCCCTTAGTTTTTAAGCTGTGGAACAAGGTATGAAGGCTAATCCCTCAGTGTCTCAGCCCCCGACCGGTAGTGACTGCAGAATACTGCAGACAGCTTGTCAAAACATGAGAAAAACATACACAGAGACAACCGAGTCCTGTGGAGAAATAGGGACAGAACGGCCACTCTCTCTGGCGGGGAGCGCCTCATTCTCCCACTGGAGCAGGCTTTTATTGGGTTCTGTTTACACAAGAATTCAGGCAAAACTCATTACTCATTGCCAGGAAGTAAGGATCAAACAATAGATAACAAGGAAGTCTGAGGGCTTATTTTGAGTCAGGGTCAGATAGCTAAAGAGCTGTAAAACTTTGAGGAACAAACTTACTTCTTCCTTGGACCCTTATCAGTTAATTGAGAGCCTTCTAAACAAAGCAGGTTTCACAGGATTTTATGTATTCTTTCTTAGGCCTGATCACCCAGGGAACCCTCCCTTTCCAGCAGAGCTACACCACCCTGTCATTGCTTCAGGCTTAGGTGGAGCAAGGGAACTAAAGCAACCAAGAGTTTAGGAGATTTTCTCACAGACAATGAGGACTCAGGCTATGTCAAAGCCGAGGGGTGAGAGTCCATCACCCCCTTTTGCTGTAGCCCCCAAAGTTCTTCCTTGGGGCCTCCCACATTATCATGCCTGTCTTAGATCATTCCCCCCTTGGGGAATCTTACTCGTCATTGGCTAACCGACCAAGCATGGGGGGCCAGACAGGGTGAAGTAAAAGGAGCAGAAGCGTTGCTCCTGCCAGGGAGATAAGCCCGTCTCCTTGGTGGCTTATGGTTCCAAGGTCGTTCCCTCAGCCTTAGCCTTGGCAGGGTTACAGCTTCTGATACCATGCAGGGCGGTTCCCAACACCTCAGGGAGAATGAGAAAGAAAACTCATTGGATGCAATAATAGTAGGAGAAGAAATTTATGCTAATGAACATAATATCTTTGATGTTATGAACAATTAATATCTTTGACAGAACCAGGAAATCTAAGGGAATGTAGTGTTGTAGAAGGGGCACTAGGTAACCCTGGAAGCAAAACCAGGTGACCTCTAGCCAATTATTTGACCTCTGTGAACCTCATCTGCAAATGGATTGGCTGTGAGGAATAAATACGTATTTAGTGCCTGTAGGCACACAACAAATGTTAGTCACGCCCCGCCCGTTCACCACTGTACACACACACACATACTCATTTTCCTCATCTCCTAATATCAAAACAGTAAGGTAAAAAAGAATATGATGATTGATTTTCATCCTTTCAGTTTTATTTCCTGAAAGTCTTTGGTTGATACATGAGAGGATATAAAATAAACGTTTAGTTTGCTTCTTATTCTTAAGTTTCTTGGTCTTAATATCACGTTAAATTATTATTTTGCTTGATATTTTCCCCCTTTCTCTCTTTGTTATTTGTTGAGATGAAGGTTTTTGGAAAATAAGTATTGTCTCTTTAAAAAAAAAAGAAAAGTTGTTATAGCAGATATTTAAATTATGGAACTTTTTGATCCATAAGTGTTCTGCATTAAAGTTTCTTAAGAATTGACGATTATTTCAGATAACAGAATCAGTATGTTGTAAACTTACATACATTTATGCCAAACTGATTCCAAATAGCTATGACATTATTTTACATAAATCCTCGCTTCCATAGCTTTTAAAAGAATTTCCACCATAATCTGGAAGTTTTTTATAGTAACACTTTAAAATTTTACAATCATCTTGGGAAATCCTCATTCCACAGCTCTCTCCTGAGTGTTTTTTTTTAATATCCTTGTTCCATCCAATCAGCATTTGTTTTATTTGAAGTTGAGTGAATTGGCTAAATTCAAGAGAAGGTGAGTTAAATATCTTAGTACTGCTTCTTGGGTGGCTTTTAGTCACAGTTTATTATAATGACTCATTCATTTGAAGGCTGGTTGGTTTGGGTTGAGAGCTTCAGTTTATTTCCATCCAGGAAACTTACTGCTGCACTGAATTCCATGAATATTTTCAAGGAACATCTACAGGTCCCCAGTTTAGCAACCTAGTTGAAGTTTTAGAGTTTTTGAGAATGAACATTGTAAAAATTTTGCTTCAACAGTGTCTTCATTTGTTAAACTCTCGCAAAGACTTGTTAATCTAATAGGATATGTGGTAGAGTCCTGATTTGTTTGAAATAGACTGATTTTCATTACCTTATGCAAGAGCCTATTGCAAAATTCTGTTCCTTTCAATGCCTTATTTCCTGCTATATGATTGCCATTGAGAAAAGAGCAGTAAATAATACAGATGCAATCATACCTTCATGGGCTTTACAGCACAGAGCTGTACAAAAGATCTCAAACGCATGGTTACTTAATTGTAGTTGTAGTATAATGTATAATTAAGTCCAGTAAGTACAGTGAAGGATACATTCACCAGATAGGGGCCAGAGAGGAGTAGGGAGGAGAAAATTGATAAAGAATCAAGTTCTCCTGAAGACATCACTTTTAAGTTGAGAAATGAAGGATTAATCGGAGGTTCCAGACAGACAAGGCATTAAGAACACTCTAGGGGAGACAACAACAAGTGCAAATGTCTCGTGGTAGGAAGGAGTTTGGGGAACCAGAAAAGAAGCCGGCACAGCTGGGGTGAAGTGAATGCATGGCAAGTAGGTCCCATTATTCAGGACTTGGTAGAAAATGTAGGGGTTGAAGCTTGACAGGATTTATGTTTTTTATAGCTTTCATGGTTTCATTCTTCTGTTATTTTTAATGGTCTTTGAGCAGTAGTTTCTACTATTTTCTTTTTTTTTAAGATTTTATTTATTTATTATTATTTTGTTTTTTAGAGAGGGAAGGGAGGGAGAGAGAGAGAGACAGACAGACAGACATCAATGTACAGTTGCTGGGGGTTATGGCCTGCAACCCAGGAATGTACCCTGGCTGGGAATCGAACCTGGGACACTTTGGTTCCCAGCCCGCGCTCAATCCACTGAGCTACGCCAGCCAGGGAGTTTCTACTATTTTCTATTACCAGTTTTTTTTAAAATTTTCACCTGTGAACACGGTTTTGAAAGATTGTATCTACCAGTGAAAGGGAAAGTTTTCCCATTTCCCCATTGGATAGCAAGCAGAGACATGTAAACATTAATCAGCATTTTCAGTGATTATGAGAGGATTGGGATTTCCACTTGGAGTTAGTATAATTCCATCAGATTACAACTAGACTCTATGAAATTGAGTTTTCACCTGAAAATTGAAGATATGTGTGTACCTTAAAGATAATCTGGACATCATATTAACAAAACCACTATTTAGAGTTCTATAGAGAGAAACTCCTAAGTTACTCCTACTCTTACTGAGAGGCAGAAGAGCCAGCCTGCTACTCAGAGGTCCAGACTCAGTAACTCAGACCATGTAATCTAGTATGCCAATAAATGCTACTGACGTTTTCATTCTAAAACGTAAACTTAAAAGCATAGCATTTACCACTGACCTTGTACACTAAATTTTATAGATGAGTGACCTAAATTTTTAGTTTTGAATCTGTTTAACATTGACCATTTCTAGAAAATGCTCAACATTTCTAGAATCATTCTAGGCAATGATTTTCTAAGTTATTTTAGTTTTAGAACATGTTGCTCAGAAGACATACCTGCATTTGCATGAAAGCTTCAAGTCCTTCAAGTTTCTGTTTTGTGCCATAAATTGGGTGGTGTATCTGTGCACAACTGAAAAGTAATTGTCTGGTATTTCTCTTGTGGAACATGAAATCATAACTTAGCATTACTTTAGATTTCACCAATCCAGAGTGTGTAGTTGTCAGTCTAAAGTTTGACTTTGTTTTTGTGAGGAAAAACCATAAATAGTTTTAATTTGCTGTGAAATAAAATGATCCAGTGTACATGTTAACCTACTTCTTCATTGGAACTCATAAACACTTGTTCATTCATTGCCTGCTGACCCCTTAGAATCTGAGGACAGTGTGCTTAAGACTTGTGAACAGCTGGCCCTGGGAAATATTTCCATTTGACAGTGTTATTGTTGCTATATGTTAGATTATTTTTAGAGTTAACACCAACAGTGTAACAACTTTCTGATTGCCACATTCTTTAACCACATTTTTTGCAAATATTTTCCATTTTATATCAGATTATATAAACTTATAAATGAAACATAGGGCAAAACAGAAAATTTCTTTCTAATAGAGTCCAGATTCCTGTAGCTGGTTGTTTGTGTTTCTTTTTTCCTTCATGGAATGTTTTTGGTTTTGAAAGTAGAGCATGAATTCCTTAGATTGTTTGCTGCCTTAATTATACAGTAATTTTATAGAATCCTTTCTCTTTTGAGTACTACGCTTAGCTAGGTTTCCATTTTTAGTTTTTCTGTTGTCTTCCTAATATTATGTTGTATCTGGCAAACATTTCAAAACTTTTAAGCTATCTAACAAGATTTTTTAAATTCTCAGTTTTCATACATATCTTTAGATTTATCCTTATTTATACAAAATTGAATGTGTATAGTGTTTGCATAATATAGTACACGTGTAGAAAAATATCTGTATTGTGGTGTCAGTTTGTATAAAAAAGGTGATGATGAGCAAAGTGTTAACCAGTTTTGCAGAGAAAGCATTTACAAGCAGAATTTGTTAAAACAGTGGTAACCCAAAGAAGCAATTCATCTTAAGGGATAGTTTATTCCAAGCTGACAAATAACCTGAGAGCACCTTATTGATTCAGTGTTTTCTACATGTTTCACTTTTTTAGTCCATTAGGAATGCTGTGATGGGACTGGATGTTTGTGCGACCCAGTGGATGTATTTGTTCACTGATGCTCTTACTAATGTACTTACTAGTGTCCGAGATACTGTGTAGGTCACAAAAGAATTGCTCAATCTTTTAATGTCTTACATCCTCTTTTTAGTGTGTGGATTTTAGGTGTTGACAGGGTTTGAGTTATCCATCTGACCACTGGGTTGAAAGTAGACTGAAGGGGAGAACAGACAGAAACAAAGGTCAGCAGGAAACCTATTTCCATAACTGAGTTAAGAGTTTATGAATACTTGAATTAGCATGGTGGTAGTGGAGGTGTCAAAAACAGTCAGATTCTGATGTATGTGCAGATATGTTCTGAGAAGAGGCTAATGGACAGGAAGAAGAGGCAAAGATATCTAAGGTTTCTGACCTGAGCAACTTTAAAAAAGATGAACTTATGTGTGAAGTGCTTAGGCCAGTGATTATAACAATAAATACCAATAAAGCTCTTATTTGTCAATCAGTCATCATGCCGGATCCACTTTTAACGAGTCCTACAATACCAGAAAACTGGCGATGTGCTTAAAGTGCAGGACAGTATACAATTTACTCCATTAGTTTTTTAAATAATTTAAATCAAACATTTAAATCTTTCTCTTTCTAAATTTAATCTTTTTTCCCGTTACCATTTAGTCCCCTTATGATGCCCTCCCCACCACCCCACCCAGTGATTTGAACTTCTGAATCACTTAGAAGTTCAGTTTCTAATCTCAGAAGCTGGAAACTCTTTTGGTAAGGCAGGAAAGTGGAAAATTAATTCCTATTAATATAATGTAAAGATTGACAGAAATAACTAGAGTATATACAATTCAGTTTGCTTTTCCCAGTCAGTAAACCTACTGGTAGTGAACCCTTATCCAAGCATTTATCCTCTTAAATTCCTAAAAAAAAACACGTATTTAACCTAATCACCATCCAAATGCTGGTGGTATATAGATATTAACTCATACAATCACTCTCAAAATACCACTTTTCTATTAGTGTAACAGGTGTTATGCTCTAGTTCTTTCAAGAAACATTTTAGTTGAATTACAAACACATGATTTCTTCAGAATTGTGGGATAGAATCATCAGTTATCCTGTTGTTGCTGTGGTGGCCATTAATTCAGCAAATATTTGTTTACCACCAGTGTATCAGGACACATGTGAGGCGCTGTCTCCATCAGTGTATTGGTCACCCTCGACAGAGTCATGTGGCCAAGCATTTACATGTGAAGCCAGTTACCTTTGTGATTGCCTTAGGACGGTTTTCCAGGTTTCCATCCCTGCTGGGTCAGTACATGATTGGACTTAGGCAAACATTCTAACAATCAGATACTCATCCATGTATTCAGTAAATGGTGATTAAAAGCCTCCTGTTATGCCAAGTGCTGGGATTGCTGCTGGCAACACAGAGGTGAGGACGAATGGCCTCAGCCTGTGTGTGACCAGGCATCATCTAGTGATGTTGCTCAGAACTCTGCAATGTATCAACAAGTCATTTTGGCCTCTCTGGGAGCTTAATTGTTGGAGTCTTGTTAGTGTCCTCCCTGGCTTTCAAGAAATGGAGACGTGTCACTTAGACAAAATGTGTTAATAAAATTAGTATTCACTAGCAAAAAAAAAATTTGTTCACATGTAACACATGCTACTATGAGAGTGTGATAGTCATCCATTCACTAAAACATAACAAACTTAAGTGCCTACTGTGTGCTAAAGGTTTTTCATTTGCCAAGGTCAGGGCAGCTTCCGTGAAGAAATGACAGTTAAGATGAGATCTTAAAGAGGAGTCAGTTTATCGAAGGGGCAGGTGAAAAACCTCTCAGACTAAGAGAACAGTACATTCCAGAGAAGACTAGTGTGGCAAAAAGCCAAGATGGATACAAGATGAGACTGAGGCAGGACCAGGCACTTAAAGACCTTGTGGGTCATGTTGAAAACTTGCCCTGTGTTCTAAGAGCAGAAGTTCCTGTCACTGAAATGTTGAAACCAAAGCCATCTTGTACTCACCCGGTGAACTAGGTCTTAACTAGACAGCTTAGCTTTTACCCAGATGTGTTGATTTCTAGATAGAAAAAAAGTTCTGTTATATTTAGAGCACTGCTTCTACAATTTTAGTGTTTAAGTATTACTTGGAGGACTTTTTAAAAAAGATTTTTGGGCCCCATTCCCAGAGATTCTATAAGTCTGGATGGGTTCAAGGATTTGAATTTCTAGTTAAGTTCCCAGAAGGTGATGATGCTGCTGGTTCTGCTGTGGACCAGATTTTGAGTTGCAGTTATTTGAATTAACTCACTTTTCTTCTAGCATTCTTTTCCTAATGTGTAACCACCAAAAGATCTTTTCTGGTCATACAATAACTAAAATAGTTTTTCTTTTTGGGGGGAGCTATATTTTATAGAAGCCATTTAAAGGTTATAAATTATACTTATTGTGTGCCTTCTGTATACAGGGTGGGGCAAAGGTGGGTTTACAGGGTTTTTTATGGAAAGTAGTGCAATAATAATATAAGAATAAATACAGTTTCATGTACTCACAACTGTAAATCTACTTTTGCCCCACCCTGTATATATGTGATCATGCGAGGTAATATGGTAGTGAACTACATTGGGGAGACATAACCCAGAAATCAGAATATTTAAAATCAGAAAGAAATGTTGATTAACAAAAGTTTGTAAAATGTTGTTAGTACTACTTTGACAGCTGTTGAGATTTTGAAATTTAGATCAATATTATTTGGGATTTGGAAACAGTGTTTCATCAAGGGTAAAACCTGTGTATTATTAAATCAGTTTTTTATTTTTGTTTTTCTAGATTTAATTACTTGTTTAGACACTGCATCCAGTTTTTTGGAACCTGAGTTCAGGTATGAGCGAGCGTGTTTGTGCTTTTTTTCTCCCCCCTTAAGTTTACTCTTCATTTACTTCATCCTCATTCTTTATACCCTTAAGATTAATGTACGTGGTGACACATAGGAAGGGGCACCTCCCAAAAAACAGGAATTGTCTTCTGGAGGGCAGGCCCCTTGTAGTACAGCCTTCCCCCTCTAGGTGAGTGTTCTAGGAACATGGCCATCTCTATCAGTGTACCAGCTGGCATTGTGAGAGGCTGCCTTTGGCTTCATAGAATATTTTTTGAAGGCTCTTTCAACAGATTTACCCATTGCATGATGAGTGATTTTACAAGCGCACCTATCCACCCTGAGCTAAGTGTTTAGCAGTTTTTTATAAAAATAGAATGATGCCCATGCCCCACCCTCCCAATTTACCTTATCTCTCCCTGAGCGACATTTTTTTGTTTCCCCCAAATGAGAAAAATCCCCAAAGGGAAACGTTTTGCCAGTGTGGAAGAGGTAGAACAAAAAAATAGCAGAAGCACCTAGCATCAAAATTGATGAGTTCAAAAAGTTTTTTGAGCAGTGGAAAAACTTCTCAATAGATGCATTGCATCAGGTGCAGTGTACTTTGAAGGTGACTGACATTTATCCATGTAGGAACAAATACACAATTTTTTACAAATAAATTGCTAACCTAAATAAGGTATCTAAGACCTCAGTCAATAAACCAGAGTCTGTTTAAAGCCATTGAGTTGCCATGTTTAAATTTTGCACTACTTATAGCATTTGGATCTTCTTCACAAAAGTGAAACTAGTTGCTCTTCAAAATCTGGCAAAACTGCTAATAAAAGTGGAAGAATTATTTATCTTTTTTTTTAAAAGAGAAGAGTGTGGTTTAGGCTATTATGGAATTTCAGTGTTCTTACCCAAATAGCCTTGCTAAGTGATTTCCCTGCTTTATGCTCTTGTCTCTTACCTAGACTAGAATCAACTTCTCATGATTTCCTTTCCATTTCTGACCTTTGCTGGCTTCATTCTGCTATCGCATTGCTGCCAGGTTGTTTCCTAAAATACGTATCTCATCATTCCCCTGCTTATAAATCTTCAGGTGCGCCTAATTAGGACAAAAAGTCATCCAGATTCCTTAGCTTGGTTTTCAGGATCCTGTCCCAGGTTCTTATGCCATTTTTCTAGTTTTATCTCCTGCACTCGTGTTAAAACAACTCTGGATTACCCCCACTGCTGTAAGCTCTGTGATCTTTTGCTTAGAATCACTCTCTGCTTGGCAAAATCATTCTCATATTCTAAGGTAATCGCACTACCCTGCAACTTGCTACCTTTTCATGAAGAACCTTCACTTTGTCTTCAGAAACAGTTTTGTCCATACAGGAGGGGAGCACTGGTAGGGGATCCTGGTCTGCAAAGGTAACCCTGGCGTCAGTATATGTATGGCACACAGCCCAGCAGAGGGTCAGATGTCTGGGGCCCTCCACTCTCTAGCTCCACTGTTACCACCTTGTATTTACAAGGTGCTAACATTCTCGCCTGGACTACTACACTGTCTGCCCGATTCTGTCCCAGTTTTCACTCATGGCTCCTTAAAGTCTCTTTTCTTCCCGGGAGTCACAATACTCTTTTTTAAAAATATGAATCAGATTATATATACACAGTCAAAATCCTTTATTGACTTTCTATTTTTATTCAGAAATATATTCCAGACTCCTCGCCATAGCCCATGAGGCCTCTGGTGATCTGACCCCTGTCTACCACTTTAGCCTTCTCTCAAATAACCTTTGCTGACTACAGTCTGCCTGCACCGGTGGTTCCCAGTTCCAGACGCACACCGGCTGTCCTGCCTCATGGGCATGGTGTTCCTTCCACTTGGGCTGCAGTTCCCTCCACTTGTTCCAGTGATTGCCGTTACTTCTCTTCCAGAGCTTCACTTCCTCAGAGCCCCATCCCCTGATAAAGGCAGTGCCAAGGCCTCTGTGTATGAACATAGACTCGAGCCCGTCTGCTTCTCAGCAGCCACATGACCTAGGCACACATTTCCTTGGTTTCCTCATTTGTGGCATGGGGTTAATAATAGTACCTACCATGTCAGGTTCTTACATGGATCAAAGTCCTTGGGATGCTGCCTGACCCAGAGTGAGTTTACTGAACATTTGTATTCCTTTTTATTAAGTTAGATTCCTCCCAGTTATTTCAGAGAATCCCTTTTCTTCATAGTGGTATCATAGTCTCTAATTATTTGTGTATCAGTTTAATGTCTTCCCCCACCACTGGCATGTAAACTCAGTGAGGACAGGGGCCCTCCCTGTTCGTCTGGCTGACTTTTGTAAATCTAGTTCCTGGCACAGCCCAGCACTTAGCCCATCGTAGACACTTGAGTAAATGTAATGTCTTTGGTCTTTCCTCCCCAACACTACAGCGGTATGTGTCCTTTAACTTGTGTTTTGTTTCACAGTAAGTACTGTCCAGCTGGTTGTCTGCTTCCTTTTGCTGAGATATCTGGAACGATCCCTCATGGATATAGAGATGTAAGTTGGATGTAGACTTACGTTAAAGTTGTGATAGGATTTTATTTTTTTAAACTTCAGAATAGGTAGATGTGTACCTACTGTATATCTTTGATATTTTTTCTAGGAATTACTTCTTTTTAGTAATAGGTAATGTTTTATTCTTTTTCTTCTAAAAATTTGTTTTGTGTTACAGCATCAATAATCTGTCCAATGTTTATTGAGAAAACTGCCCAGATAAACTAATTTTTTGAGGAAGTGTAAGTCTTATTTGTGAATTATCAAAGGAAAATAAAAAATTGATCTTTTCTTTTTTCCCTCCCTCAAGTCCTCACCGTTGTGCATGGCTGGCGTGCATGCAGGCGTAGTGTCAAACACTTTGGGCGGCCAAATCAGTGTTGTGATTAGTAAAGGCATCCCGTACTATGAAAGTTCTTTGGCGAACAATGTCACATCTGTGGTGTGAGTACATGCGCTGTTTATAATGAGCATGCTGAGCAGGGGTGGGATGGGGATTCATGAGACCTCAGCGATGCAAGTTAGTGGTGTTCGAGAAAAGCCATGTGTGCAGTTAGCACTTAACATTTGTGTGTCCTCCTGCCCGAGTATATTGAAGAGTATAGGCAAGGTCAGACTACTGTGTCTGTCAGAATGGTAGTCATTTGTAAGTGTGATTGGTCTGTTTCTTCTTTTCTAAGTATTGAGAAAACCTGGAATAAGAGTCTACAAGTATGTTGTCAGATCTTCACTTCATATTAAAGGTCAGAGGGTGTAAACTACTCTGTTCCTTATAGTCTCTGTGACCCGAGATGAATCAAGGATAATTGAAACACTTTGAATGTAAATTTGGTTTTGAAATAAATCAGAGGTTGGTAGTATTATGAATCCCCCTTCTCATCCCCAGAAAATATTTTCAGAATGTATTTTCATGGTCTCTACTACATTCTGCTATTTTACAAAATTTAAACTAGGCATAAAAAGCAGGAGAAGTTCAAACATTAAATAGAAATGCAATACACCTAATTTCTTGTTTTTGTAAATCTTACCTCTTAGATATGCCCAGTCTTGCGCACGGGACTACACCTGTTTGAAACAAGCATCTCTTCAGGGGTCCTAGGCCAGTTTTTATTCAGAAGACAAGAGCGTGATCCACAGCCACAGCAGTAGAAAGCAGGAGTCAGCAAACTTTTCTGTGAAGGACCAGCTAGCAAATATTTTAGGCCTTTATGGGCCACATGGCTCTGTCACTTACTCTTCTTTAAGTCATTTGCAACTCTTTAACCATGTAAAAACCATTCTTAGCTCACTGGCCATAAAAAAACAAGCCATACATGGGCTGTCTGCCCATTGCTAGTATGCAGCAAGCTACCTTTCCTTCTTTTGGTTTCTACTAGATGCATTTATGCTAATCCTTTATTCTTTTCCCTCGTTCTACCTTTAGACAGATATAGTTTTCCATGAATTCTCTTTTTCACACTTAAAAAACAAGGACAAGTTGCATACACTTATAATGATTTGAATGTTGTGCTAAAGACAGGAGTACACACTGGTGATTTCCTTTCCTCCAGGCTCCTTAGAGTCCTCTGACTTACCCCATGGCGACCTAGTCACTTGTCCCGCCCCTGCGTTCTCCCCATGCATCCATCCATCCATGCTGCCCCATACTTTCAAATCCAAAAGCTGCACTCCAACACGGAAACTTAGACATGCTGATTTCCTGTAACAAATGCGGTCTCGGTAGTTGTTAGCTTTTCTGCTGTCTATGCCAGGGCACCTGAGCCTCTTTGTCGAGAATTACACCTTTCATTGTACCTCCACCAGAAGCAGTGCCACAGAACAGGTTTAGGAGTCAGCTTATTTCATGGAAAAGATAAAAAAAAGTATATATTCAAGGTTATGTGGACACATTTGCATAGTCATGTATGAAACAAGAAACTAGATACTTGTAGAGAAAGTTATTTATGCTGACTCCAGAAGTTCTGCTTAGGAATGAGACTTTTTTTGTTAACTAGGAACATTATCAGTCATCCGATATATAGCCGGAGAATAGTCTTAGTTGTTTATACAGCAAAATAAAAACAAGAAAAGCTTTACTAGGACAAATATGGGAAAATTATGTGTTATGTGATATGTCACCAAAAACAACCTTTCTCTCTTTCAGGGGACACTTATCTACAAGTCTTTTTACATTTAAGACAAGTGGTAAGCTTTTCATGGACTTTATAACTTACTGTAATTTGTATAGTAGCTAATATTTTTTGTACACTGGATGTTAGGCATTGTGCCAAGTTCTGTTTCCTGTACTTTCTATTTAGTTGTTACAATAACACTGTGAGGTAAGAAGGGCATTTAATATAGAATGAATGAAAAAAGCTGCATAATGTATATTAATAGAAAAATGATCATGTAAGCAAGGAAAGATTTTTGAATGTGCCTAAAGAAATAATTTATTCATTTGACTGAAAATATTGAGTGCCACCTTTTTATTTGTTGGATATTCTGGTCTAGGAATACAATAGTGAGCAGAAGAAGCGAAATTCTGGTTTCCTGGAGCTTACATTCTGGTAGTGAGAGATTGACAATAAACAGTGAATAAGTCGATTATTGTTTACAATGGATTGTTTATAATATAAAGGATGTAGAAAATAAAACAAGAGTGGGCAGTGGAGGAGGTGTCATGGAGGATGTGATGTTTGAGCAAACACCTGAAGAAGTTGTTAAGGGTGTGAGTCACCCAGTGACCTGGGAGCTTGTCCCAGGGATAGGATATGTATCTCCATTAAACTAATGGTTATGGCCCTGGCTGGTGTGGCTCAATGGATTTGAGCATTGGCCTGCACATCAAAGGGTTACCAGTTCGATTCCTGATTGGGGCACCTGCCTGAATTGTTGGCCCCATCCTCAGTTGGGGGCGAGAGGCAACTGATCTAGATGTTTCTCTCCTTCCCTTCCTCTCTCTCTAAAAATAAATTTAAAAAATCTTAAAAAAGAAACCAAACTAGTGGATATGGCTCATGAATAAATATATACAGTTCCTCATAAGATACAAAACATAGACTCCAGAAACACTTGCCTAGTTTGGAAATTTTGCTATTACACTGTATTTGCATAAAGGTACATTGATTAAAGGTTCAATAGAAAGTTTGTAATGATCAAGTTTATGTAGAGTTTAAATTTATAGCCAGAAACCCAATTACTTTCTTCTTTTGTTGCTGTTTCAGGTTGTTACGGGACACTGGGGATGGAATCTGGCGTGATTGCCGATCCTCAGATAACAGCCTCATCTGTGCTGGAGTGGACCGACCACATGGGCCAAGAGAACAGCTGGAAACCCGAGAAGGCCAGGCTGAAGAAACCAGGGCCTCCTTGGGCTGCTTTTGCCACTGATGAGTATCAGTGGTTACAGATAGATCTGAATAAGGAAAAGAAGATAACAGGTTAAGAGGCGTAACTTTTTAGAATAATTGGTGATACTGATTTTATTTGAAAACATAGTGACATCTAAGATTTTTATAGAAAATTAAGTCACTGCAAATTTAATTACGTGGTTTTAAGGTTTCTTTATTGGTGTTAATATTACTGAAAATGCTTTCATAAAAAACATGACAGAAGATAGGCGTTGATATTTGAGTCTTACTAGCTTTTCTTATTAATAAGATTTCTTTCAAGGTAGTGTTTTACTGAAGTGATCTTGAGGCATCTGAAATACCATCTATTAGAGTCATGAAGAGAAATTTATGTTGAAGGAGTCCAAGTGCTATAATTAATATTCCACATAAGCTGAATATAAATTTAATTATTTAAAGCAGTTTAGCAAATGGTCACAATTGTTGGGATTGGCTTTGTTAAAGATGTATTTAGCTTTGGTACTGAAAATAATACCAGTAATTACCTTTAATATGTTCATTTCCAGGAAGCCATTCTTACTCATAGGTGCAATATATTTTACAATGATATGAACACAAGTTGCTAACATGGAATGGTCCTTTCCTTTTGTGTGCAAACAATTCTCCTATCTCTACAAGGGAACAAAGCCAAGGATTCCGTTACTATGATAATGAAAGCTTACACTTAGATAGGGTAATGTGTCATAGGCAAAAAATGTTTGAACAGTGTATCTTAGGTGTTAATGTTTCAGTAGTGAACCAACTTCGAAGATCAGAGTGTGTGCGCTATGAAAGCAACTCTCCATTCCCCACCAGGCATTGTGACCACTGGCTCCACCATGGTGGAGCATAATTACTATGTGTCGGCCTACAGAATTCTATACAGTGATGATGGGCAGAGGTGGACTGTGTACAGAGAGCCTGGTGTGGAGCAGGATAAGGTAAAATGATTAACAGTGTATTTTTTAAAACATTTTTTAAAATGAGCCTTTGCAAAAAGTCACAGGAACACTCCTGTGTAATTTAAAAAGTTAAATGTCATTTGGTCTTACTCTGCCCTCTTCTGGTTATTTTAGGTAGTGCTAGTTATCAACCTTATCCCTTCTAACTTCTGGATAAGAAATTTTCCGTGGTGGTTCTAGGTCCCTTTTGAAGATTGTAGGGGTTAAGTACTTTACTGATTCTTTTTTTCACCACATCTTAACTCATTTTTTTTTACAATAGATAATTTATAAGAAAATTCTAAAAGGGAACTTATCATTTCTTGTCTTTAAAAAGCTTTTCTTTTCAATGCACAGAATGATGAGGAAGCCTAATTTGTTCCCAGATTTCTATTTTGTAGACAAGGGGGACAAAAGAGCTAAAGGCAAAAGTGCATTAATTTGTAGGATATTACAGACTTGAAAGATCATTTCAAGATCACCTCAGTGACTTTGTCTTAGAAAAAAAGTTCATTATTTTTGTACCTGAAGAATTTCATTAACTCCTGTATGTTTTCCTATCTGAAGAATTTCCTTAACTTCTGTGGTCATTATGAAATTGTTGTTTTCATTAACAAAACATGACAGTGCTGAAATGTACCAGATCAGATAAGGGGCTGAGAGGAGGCACAGGTGGCTCTCGTCCAGATGTTTACCACTTTCACCTGGGCTCCCAGCCCTTGGCCAACCACAAGGTCTTATAACTGGGAGAGCCCATGCCCCGAAGAAGATAGATTCCTCTCATCTAGAACTGAAATTTTGAGCATATATTTTTAGTGAAACTTCATTATGAGTTTTGTTTTAGCTATATGATACTATCAGTTCTCTATCATATATAAGATTTACTCATGTATCTTCAATTACCACTTTTCTCATCTCTCTGTTCAATGACTGCAGGAGCTTCCTATAATCTTTCCCATGGATCTAAACTCTTCTGCTGTTATTCAAGGCCTTCTTTCCTCTCTTCTACTTGATACCACATGAACTTCATCTTTGGTGAGCCTGCACCCACTGAAGCAAATAACAGTATTGTCTCCATTTCTGTCTTCTGCCTAATGCCCCCAAACTTAACTACTTTTTACTGTCAGCACATCCATATTTATTTGTAATCTACTTATTACATTTATGGGATATACTTAATTTTTGAAGTTATAAGAGCTATCCATGCTTATATTATAAAAACATCTAAAAACATTGAATTATATTTCTGAAAAAGATTTTTTGTTTTATTTTGAAAGATAATTTCACTGAGTTGAGAATTCTAGGTTGACAGTCCTTTGTTTCAATACTTTAAATATGCTGGTGCATTCTTTTCTGATTTGTATTGTTTTCAGCAAGAATTCTGCTATCGTTCTTAATTGTTGTTTCTCAATATGTAATACATCTTTTTTTCCCCCTTGGCTACTTTGAAGATTTTCTTTTTATCATTTGTTTTAAGTAATTTGATTATGATGTGCTCTATGTAGTTGTCTCCCTGTTTCTTCTGCTTGGGCTTTTCTGAGCTTCTTGGATCTGTGGGTTATAATTTGCATCGAATTTGGAAAATTGTAGGCCATTTTTTCTTCAAATATGTCTCTTCCTCAGCTCTGATTACATGAAGGTTATGACTCTTGAAGATGTCTTAACAGTTCAATGATGCTATTCATAGTTTTAAACTTTATCTGTATTCTAGTTTCAAAAATTTCTATTGTTTTTGTCTTCAAGTTCTGTAGTCTATTCTGTAATGTCCAATCTGCTATTAAGTCTATCTTTTAAGATTTCTTCCATGTCTATACTCAACATGCTCGTGCTTTTCATTACCTCTGAAACATATGGAGTATATAATAACTCTTAATGTCCTAGCCTACTAATTCTGTCTACTAATATGTCATATCTAGATCTTTTTATATTGATTGGTATTATGGGTCATATTTTACAAGTCTGGTAATATTTGAGTGGTAGCCAGACATTGTAAACTTCACACTGTTTGGTGCTAGGTTTCATTTTTTATTATTCTTTTAATTTTGTTTGAGCTTTATTCTGGGATACAGATTACTTGAAAATCATTATCTTTTCAAGGCTTGCATTTTAGCTTTATTAGGCAGGACTTGGGCAGCCTTTTGTTGTAAGTTTTCCCCACTGCTGAGAACATAGTGTTCTAAGTACTCAGTCCAACATCCCAGGTGTTCCAAGGTTTCTTCATTCTGTTATTGGCAGCGTGAGCTGTTCTCACCTTGTGAGTTTCTCAGAATTATTCTACTGGTTCCTTCTAGTGTTTTTTTTTCACCTGTCCACAGATAGTTTCTTAATGTATATGCAGCTGAAAATTTAATGGGAAACTGCCTGCAGATCCTAGAAGTCTCTCTGCAGCTTTCTTCTCTTCTGCACTGTGCCCTGCAAATTCTCGCTGCCTTGGCCGCTCCATCTCTGAGCTGTCTCCTCGGTTCCCTGAGACACCGGCTCTCTCTAGGCAATATTGGGTCAATAGAAGGGCTCACCTCATTTGTTGCCCTTTCCTCAGGGGTTACTGCTGCCTATTGTCCAGTGTTGAAAAACCATTTCATATATTTTATTTGATTTCTCAGAAAGTTAAGACAGAAGGTTAAGTTCAGTTACAGTTAGTGTATATCATGGATAGAAGTGGAAGTCCTTGCATTGAATTATGTGAAGTGACAGTTTTTTTTGTCTCTCATTAGCCCATCTGCTTCCTCTTCAAACTGATAAAAACAAACCACTTTGATTTTAAGCAGGTGTTCCTTTATTAATGGTCTTTAGAAGCTGCCTACACGGCTGGGCCCGAAGGAACGAGGAGGGCCCTTTTTTGCTCACTAGAGCCCTCTGTGCGAGTCAGAAGACGCAGACTCCAGTCACTGCTCTCTCAGTGACTGGCTGCACAGTTCCATTCTGCAGGCTGCAATTTTCTGGATTTCTGTCTGTTTCATAGGGTTATCATGAAGAGCAGTTGAGTTAATTTTATGAAATGCTTTGTAATTAAGAGCTCTCCCTTTGTAAGGCATTATCATTATTTGCTTGAAATAGTTGAGGGAATGAGATGGTACTTGAGATCATATTTTTACATAAGGATTATTCATATAATGCATTCGTTGCTGTTACAGTCATTAAATTAGGCAGGTAACAGTGTCACTATTTCTGGCTCAAAGAGCAACAAGAAAACAGAACACGAGAACTGTGTGTATGTAGTTTATCCAGTAGGTGGAGGTATGTATCTGTTGTGTTAGTGTATATTCACTTTCAGTCTGTTTATTGAGAAAAAAATTATGATGAATAGTATACAGTAAAGCATTTCCTCTAAGATCTCATATGTTCAATTATACTTTACTTTGAAAATAAAATCAACATATTTAAATAGTTGGTAATTCCACAGAACTGGCGTTACTAATTTATTAATAACAATATACCATCTCATTGCCATTGAAGCTCTTCCCAAGTTAGCAAGTTAGCGTTCTTCTGTTTGTTATCATCTTAAAATCATTTTTATATTCTGTATTTTTCTTTTATAATTTTTGATGAAGAATGTGCAGCTTCTTAATAGTTCTCCAAATTCTGATTAAATTATTTTCTTGAAAATCAATTTTTATTGTCATACTTTGCAGATCTCATCTAAGCCCCAAAACAAAACAAAACAAAAACATGTTTCAGTGGAGCAATTTAGCACTGGCCTCTGTTGAAGTAAAGTATTGGTATTTTTTTGTGTGTTTTTTTTTTAAGATATTTCAAGGAAACAAAGATTATCACCAGGATGTGCGCAATAACTTTTTGCCACCAATTACTGCACGTTTTATTAGAGTGAATCCTACCCAATGGCAGCAGAAAATCGCCATGAAAGTGGAACTGCTTGGATGTCAGTTTATTCCTAAAGGTAAAGAAACAGTACGTTTCAAATGTGTTCTTTTCCTCGGATAAATTAAAAATGCTAAGTGCTATTCTCAGAGAAAGTAATCAATAATCAGGGGTTTAACCCCTAATTACACTATCTTAAAGGAATTTTTAAAAAGAAACAGTTACCCTCTTAAAAAGTTGGATATCAAAATGATTTCCAGAATTACCAGTACAAGCAGGAGAGAGGGCATCGTCGATGAGATGATGTAATGAGATTGGTTTCCAAATCTAATCACGTCTCAATCTTGATAATTTTTAATCAGGACTCATGTGATATAGTATTTATCACATAAGCACTGATGATTGCTTATAATAGTAACCTCAGTCTAGTGATTTTTACTTTGAATAAATTAAAAATGGGAGTAACTTCCTTCAATACTATACTGTAACACTTTGTTTACTGTTGTACTTCTAAGAACTACCAAAGTGACTGACACATAGTGGACCCTCCATAAATATTAAATGAATTGATAAGTAGTATGTCAAATTGCAATGAAATTTTTATAGCTTTAGAGTTCAACATCCATCACTTCTCCATCATTTTTCTTCTTAAGGAGATTACTCTCAGGTTAATTAAAAACTGAGAAATACCAGTATGTTTTTGTATTTAATACAGAGGATATTTATCTTTTACATACTTCTCTCTGACATTTAAAATTACTGTACAGAGCTAAGTGTTCTAGGAGATAGTAGAGACATTTAAATTACTAGTTTAATTATGGTTTTTATAAGCAAAGTGTGTAAACTTTTCTGAACCATTTTGCAAGGTCGTCCTCCAAAACTTACCCAACCTCCACCTCCTCGGAGCAGCAATGACCTCAAAAACACTACAGTCCCTCCAAAAATAGCCAAAGGTATGCTTCCTTTAAATGTGAGAATTTCATATTCCCTGGATTTGTGGTATAATTTTCCATAAATATGTTCAAAGCATTCTAAAACACTTTTATTTTAATCCAGTTGATGTAGATAAAAGTATAAAGTGTTTTAAAACCCTTTTTCCAAGGTCATGCCCCAAAGTTTACTCAACCACTACAACCTCGCAGTAGCAATGAACTTCCTGTGCAGACAGTACAGACAACCGCCACTCCTGATATCAGAAACACGACCGTAACTCCAAATGTAACCAAAGGTAGGTAAACCCAAACATTCACACTTGTTACGTAGTAATGTTTTGTTTTGTTTTCAGCTTAAGTTTTCAACATTACTAGCTTTTAAACTTTCAGTTTCTTTTCCTCAAACTTGGGTTTTTTTAAGTATAGCAAAAAAATTGATTCCCTTCCTTGGGAAAAATCTAATGCTTTGCTCTAAGTTCTGTTCTGTGGAGCCATGTAGAGTTAGTTGTTCTTTAAATATTTAGAAATGGTTGCTGTATTCTAGGCCTCCGCTTGCAATTTTTATCCCTATGTAGCTAAACATGTGGAGTCTCATGCCTAGAAATGTTTCTAGAAATAACTAAAAGCCTAGCAGTAAACAGACCTTTTCTTTTTCTTTATTATACGTGAATTTGCTGGATAGGGAACTTGGCAGAAAAAGAAAGAGAAAAATACAGGCATTGTGGTGAAAACTAATACTTTTTTAAAAATACTCTTTTTTTTTTTTTAAGATTTTATTTATTTATTTTTAGGGAGGGAAGGGAGGGAGAGAGAGAGAGAGAGAGAGAGAGAGAGAGAGAGAGAGAGGGACATCATTGTGCGGTTGCTGGGGGTTATGGCCTGCAACCTAGTCATGTACCCTGGCTGGGAATCGAACCTGGGACACTTGGGTTCCCAGCCCGCGCTCAATCCACTGAGCTACGCCAGCCAGGTAAAAATACTCTTGAGTTAACATATTCCTTTAAAAAAATTTTGGTCTCTGCTTTTAAATTGTTTCCAGTTAAAGTTTTTCAGATTATAAGTATAAACATTAATAGAATTTACTTTCAAACATAATGATAAGTAAGGTATTAACGTATGCAAAACACTTTATAAGTTGTTGAGAAACAAAATTTCAGTTGAATACAGGGGAAAAAAGCATCTGTGTTCTAGAGGAATTAGTTTCAGTGTTGGCAGATAAATAAAGCACACTTATTTTCAAGACGGCAGACAAAGCAGTTCACTCAGTAACTTGTACCACTCAGAACTTGAATCATTCGCATTTACTGAAAGTCTGCCTGGATTCAGATAGCTTTCTCCAACTTTCCACGTGTCAGTTTCTTTTCTGTCTTCCAAACAGACCAATTTCTTGGGCTGCAGGAAAATCTAGAGAGAAGCAAGAGTTCTCATAACCAGGAGATCTTAGCATCCACAAAGAGCTTCTTACCGTTCTGCAGAAGGCATATGTTTGGACAGAATCCCAAACCGCATGCCTGGATGGAAGAACAATCATCTGAAGGTGCTGCTCATCTTAAATTCAGATTATAGGATCTTAAAATCTCAAAACTGAAATTGTCCTAAAACATTTCCTTCAAGAACTAGGATACCCGTAACATTAAAAAGAATAACAGAGAAAACTTCAAGATGGCAGCTGAGCTAGTGGACCTTGTATTCACCTCCTCCCAGAACCAAACTGGGAATTCAGCTAAATTGGGGAAAAATCACCCTGAAAGAACAACTGAAAACTGAGGATATTTATAACCAAGGAACTGTAAACAACGCCACGTTGAGACTGGAAAGAGGGCAGACAAGCGAGTGGTCCTGTGCCCAGGCAGAGGCTAAGGCACCAGAGGGATAGCTCAGTGGTGGAAGGTCCCACCCGAGAGATGCAGGTCCTAAATCCCGGGACAGGCTGCTTAGCCAGGAACAGTATAGCCTGGAAGAGACACCACACAGCACTGGTGTTGAAAAGCTGGGGGGTTTCTGTCTGCCGAGGGGAGGTGGAGGCCATTTGAGGCACAGGCATTCTCTTAAAGGGCCTACAAAACTGCACTTGCCACCACTAATCCTGGGCTCTGGTGGAAGGAGGGGCAGTAAAGGTTGGAGTCAACTGAGGAGAGTCTCGGGCTTGTGGTTCTGAGGAGAGACATAGGGGGATAGCTGCCAGGATCCTGGTGCTGAGTCAGTCTCAGATATGTACAGCAAACATCTCTTCTGGGGGAGCAGTCCCCTCCCAGCAGCTTCAGCCTGGAGGAATGCAGTTACCCCACCCTTAGGGATTTCACTCACCGCATAGGAGGAGGCAGTGACATAGGCCTGGGCATAGCAGCCTGGGCAGACTAGGGGAGATTGGTGCCTAGTTGTGGGGAGGGGCCATGTCCCCCACCCCCAACTTCCCTGTGAACCTGACAGGTGCCTCCCCCTCAAGGGCAGATAAAGAGCTTCCCAGACAAGAAAAAACTAAAGGAGTTCATCAGCACCAAACCAGAATTATATGAAATGTTAAAGGGTCTTCTTTAAGAAGATCAAAAATATGAACAATAAAATGGCAATTAATGCATATCTATCAACAGTTGATTCTAAAACCCAAAATAAGCAAGCACAACAGAAACAGAATCATAGATAAGAGAACTTTTTGATGGTGCCAGGTGGGAGGAGGGTCGGGAGATGTGCTAAAAAGGGGAAGAGATGGAGAAGTACAAATTGGTAGTTATAGACTAGTCATGGAGATATAAAGTACAGCATGGGGAATGGAGTAGACAAACAACATAAATGCATGACCTATGGACCTCAGTGTGGGGATTACCTGAGGGAATGTGGGGAGGGCTGGATAGAGGGGAACAAAAGGGAAAAACTGGGACAACTGTAGTTGTACAAACAATGAAATATAATTTTAAAAAATCAATACTTTATTTTAAAAAATAAATTGAGTTATTAGAAAATCAAAAGCCTTTATATGCACCAATAATGAACTATTAGAAAGAGAAGTTTTAAAAAGTCACATTTACTATTGCAAACAACAACAAAAAAGTGAGGTACTTAGAAATTAATTTAACCAAGGAGGCAAAGGACCTGTACTTGGAAAACTATAGAACACTGAAAAGAAATTGAATAAGATACAAATAAGAGGGAGCATATACCGTGTTCATGGATTGGAAGAATTAAAATCATTAAAACGTTTGTACTACCCAAAGCAATCCATAGATTCAACGCAATTCCCATGAAAATGCCAATGACCTTTTGCAGACCTGAGAAAAACATTTCAAAAATGTATATGGAATTAAAAAAGACCCTGAATAGCCTCAGCCATCTTGAGAAAAAAACAAAACCAAAACTGGAGGTATCCCAATAGCTGATTTCAAACTGTACTACAAGGTCATTGTAATTGAAACAGCCTGGTACTGGCAGAAGAACTGGCATATGGATGAATAGAACAGCACAGAGTCCAGAAATCAGCCCATGTCTGATGGTCAATTAATATTTGATAAGGGAGGTGAGAGCATACAGTAAAGACAGTTTCTTCAACAAATGGTGTTGGTAGAATTGGGCAGATACATGCAAAAAAAAAGTGAAACTTGACCACCAACTTACAGCATACACAGGGATAAACTCAAAATGGATAAAAGACTTAAATCTGAGTCATGAAACCATAAAAATCCTAGAAGAAAACATAGGCAGTAAAATCTAAGACATATCTTATAGCAATATTTTTGCTGATACATCTAGGGCACAGGAAGTAAAGGAAAAAATAAACAAATGGGACTACATCAAACTAAAAAGTTCTGGGACAGCAAAAGAAACAATCAACCAAATGGAAAGGGAACTCACTGTATGGGAGGACATATTTGCCAGTGATACATCTGATAAGGGGTTAATTTCCAAACATATAAAGAACATATACAACTCAACACCAGGTAGACAAACAATCTCATTAAAAAATGGGTAAAGGACCTCAATAGATACTTCTTCAAAGGGACATACAGATGGCTAGTAGACGTATAAAAAGGTTCAATGTCACTAATCATCAGAGAAATGGAAATTAAAACCACAATGAGATAGCACCTTGCACCTGCTAGAGTGTTCTCATCAATAAATCAACAAACAAGTGCTGGTAAGGTTGCGGAGAAAAAGGGACCCTAATGCACTGTTGGTGGGAATGCAGGCTGGTGCAGCCACTATAGAAAACAGTGAGTTACCCCAAGATAATAAAAATGGAAGTGCACTTTGTCCCAGCAATCCCACTTCTGGGAATATACCCTAAGAATCCCAAAACACTAATCAGAAAGGTAATATGCAGCCCTATGTTCATAGCAGCATTATTTACAATAGCCAAGGTCTGCAAACAGTTGTGCCCATCAGTAGATGAGCAGATAAAATAGCTGTGGTACATTTATACAATGGAATTCTGCATGGCTATAAAAAAGAAGGAACTCTTACCCTTTGGGACAGTATGGATGGACCTGGAGAATACTATGCTGAGTGGAATAAGCCAGAGAAAGACAAATACAATATGATCTCACTCATATGTGGAATCTAATGAAAAAAAACAACAAAACAACAAACTGATGAACCAGAAGCATGGATACATGAACAGACTGACAGATCTCAGAAGGAGGGGTAGGGACTGGAAGAGATTAGCCAGAGAACATACATGCCCGTGTCTTTGCCCATGGACACAGACAGCAATGTGGTGAAGGCCGGCAGGGCGGGAAGGTGGGGGTTGGACAGAGGAAGACTAAGGGGGGAAATGGGGGACCTCTGTAATAGTGTCAACAATTTATAAAAATGTTTACAAATAAAAAAAAGAACAAGGAATGTTACAGGTCTTTTTAATTGAAGAACTCTTATCTCCTTTTTTCTGGAACAGTGATGTATAGACCCAGACCTAAGCAGGTGTTTACAAGCCTCTGATTAAATCAAACTGCATCCATCTGAACCTGGTTTTTCTCTCTCCAATTTCACAAATTTTAGGGATAAAAAAGTACATTTACTTTTCTGAATTCTTTGTACTTTCTGGCCTGAGTCAAGATTTTTGTTTTATGCACTTCTACTACATTTTTACACTCAGGCTGAGAGTGACATTGGAGAGAAGCATGTCATGGTCAGATTGGTGCCAGTGCAACTTCCAGCTGCTCCTTTAGTGGGGTGCCCGGCAGAGACCGCGGTAGCTCTTCTGCCTGTTCTCAGCAGTTGCCTCCATACGTTTTAAATGTTGGACCCAAAGATCTTCACTCACTTCCAGTAACCTATTCAACTTACAAAGAAATCCAAAGTCATTAGAAGGAAACTCCCTTTTTGTGGAACCTACAAACTCCCTGTACCCTCTGTCTACTGCACTAAAAAAGGCGGTTCTTGGTACTACCCAAGGTTGACCACTTCACCCTGCCCTAGGCCCACTTATCCAGCCTCTCAGAGGCCTCATGTTATTGATCATCCTCTCCTTCTCCGGTTATGGTCAGCCTGTGTGTCTTTCTGATAGTTATAAGTGAATAAGGCCTGACTGTGTCTGGCAATTAACCCTCAGGAGACAGGAGCAGTTGGCCCCATCCTCATGGACAGGAGAAGGCTGATGGACGAAGAAAGAAACTATTGTGGCACATGACCTTAGGCAGACTATTTTCTGTATCCTGGGCCCAGGATGCTTTCTCTGTGAAGTGAGATAGGGGGATTAAATGACCTCCTACTCCCTGCAGGCTCCAGCACTGTGTCAGTTTCTGCCATGTTGATCACCCGGTTGGCTTTCTAGACTTAACACACCTTCCTGTATTTATGAATACTGTGCCATCGTGTTGCAAAATTATTTCCTTTTGCTGGGTAACATTTCACTATAAGGAGGATACCATGATATACTTATTCCCTTTCATTGTTAGGCATTTGGATTATTTCCAGTTTTTCACCCTTCTGCAGATACAGAAGCAAGCCTCTTTAAAGATACATCCTTGAATGTTATCTTAATTTTTTTCCCTAAAATAAATTCTAGATATTTAATTGCCAAATGATTGTTATTTATACATATTACCCCAAACTGATACAGGAAGTATCAATTTTTATATTCCCATAAAAACATTTGTTTCCTAATATTCTCTTCAACAATCAGTTATTTTAAACATCTGCCAATTTGATAAGCAGAAATAGGATCTTATTCTGGTTTTAACTTTCATTTCTCTGATTACTTCTGAGCCTAACGTTGAAAGGTCACTTGCTTTCTTTTTATGTATTCACTCATCTCTGCCAACTTTTCTTTGTTTTGACTTGCATATCTTATAATATATGAATTACAGTAACCCTTTATCACATACAGAATATATTGTCTCAGTTTATCCTTTGTCTTACCATCATTGTCTTGGTGATTTAAGAAGTTACTATGAAAAATTTTAAACATAATACAAAGGTGGATCAAATAGTGTGTCAAACTTCCATGTATGCATGCAAGCTCCTGAAGTTACTAGCTTATGCCTAGTCTCATTTCATAAATAATGTTGATGTTACTTTTTGAGATAGAAACCTTTGAATGCTGATATGGTTAATCTTCACTCTTCCCCTTCAAATTTCTGCCTTTCGTATATTCCAGATGTAGCCTTGGCTGCAGTCCTTGTCCCTGTGCTCGTCATGGTGCTCACCACTCTCATTCTCATATTAGTGTGTGCTTGGCATTGGAGAAACAGGTCAGTATGTGAGTACTTCACCTAACTGGTCCTAGAGGGGGTGTTTCCAAGTGTGAAATAGAAACTAGGTACAGAAGATGAATTGTAGCTCGTCTTTTTGAGAGGGAGAATTAAAATAGCCATTAAAATAAAATACATGTTTCTCCTTTATTCCCATAAAAATGAGTATGTCAATTACTGAGTACCTTTATTGTATTAAATTTTGCAGTATACACTGTCATATACACATTAATAAGAAAAATTTCATAACACAGTAAATAGGTGCTTAGTGATACTTACTGAAAGAATGAAATACACTGTCTTCAAGGTGTTTAGCAGGTTTGGCACAAAATGAAGAACTGTAGTGTAGTTTGATGAGTTATTTATGAAGTGCGGGAGAACACAAATGCAAGAACCCTGAGAGTTTTCTGAAATCTTTTCTCCAGGAAAGAGTATATTTTACTGAAAAGAAGGAATTGGATTTGGCTAGATAGTGGAAGGTAGAGAATGACCCAGACTGATGCAACTGCTTTGAGCAAAAGCACAACTATATGGGATGTCGACAGAATAGTGAGTCGGTTCATGGGGTTTGGCATGGGAAAGCACTGAGAAGGAACCACAGAAATACAGCCTGGGCCAGGATCAGGGAGAGCTTTCTGGGGGAGAGAAATTTGGATTTCATTCTGTAGATTGGAAATCATTGGAGTGTGTTAAGCACACAGGTGGTATTACCAGATGATTGTAGAAAAATAGTGGCACAAGTTTTGCAGAGTAGATTGAAGAAGAGGATCTAGAAGAGACAGAAGAATTAGGAAACTACGAAGGGTGGGCAAGAACCTATTGCAGTAATTCTGGAAAAAAGAAAGGTGAAGAGGGAGAGATGTCCCAGTCTCAGCAGCGGCTGGCTATATTGCCATATATATGGCAATATAGCCATATATGCATGACTGGCTATATTGTCCAGGAAGTAGGAGGGGTCTAGGATGATCTGAAGTTTCTGGCTTCTGCAGTAAGACCAGTAGGGATGTCATGAGTTGAGGTAACAGAGCAGGAGAGACAGTTTTGGGGGAGCAAGAGAATGACTTCCTTTGGCCATTCAAGAAATATTTGAGCACTTGCCTCATGCCTAGTATTGAGTGATGAACCCTAAAATGTACAGAATGGAAGAGGATAGAGTGCAGAAGACTATCGGCCGTGGTACTGACATGGATCCCAATGGATCTCAGATTTATGATGTTGGGAGTTTGTCAAAGCAGAAACCCAACAAGTTAGTATGAGGGCATTAGGGGAGGGTGGAGGGGGACAGGGATTTAGGGAAGTACAGGAAAGATACTCCTGACGCTTCCAGGTAGCTGGACAGCAACAATAGTAACAATGAGAATAGCAGCAACAGTTCATTTTTATAGAAAATTAAATGCTGATTTTAGGTATAACTCTAAATGCCTTACATGTTTTAACTAATTTGATCCCCACAACAACCTATGAAAAAGGTACTGTTATAAATCCCATTTGACAGAAGAAGAAAGTAACATAGGGAGTGTATATAACTTGCCCATGGTCACCTGGCCAGTACGTGGCAGAGTAGAGTTTTGGATCTGGATGCAGAGCCCATGCTCTTAACCACAGCTGCCTCTGAACATGTGATTGGTCGGTGAGGTCAGATGCACTGTGGTTAAAGCACAGGGATGTGGGAGTGAGGATTGAGGAGTAGAACTGGTGAGAGGGAGGTAGGATGCAAGTGTTCAGATCAGTTCAGGGTGGTGTTGAAAGAACACTGTGGACATTCAGACTCCCAGGAGGCAGATTGCAATACATGTCTGTTCAAGACAAAGGTCTGAGCTGCAAAATTGAAGTTACTTCTGAGCATGGTGGTTGAAATTGCTGACAGCTGGCTTCACAAGAGTAAAGGAGGAGATACTATTAAAGGGCTGTGGAAAAGAGTGAGAAGGAGAGTAATTAAAACAGCTGCAACTATTGGGACCTTAACTCATGCCAATCACTGTTCTAAGCACTTGACATGTAATGAATAAATAACCTGAAGCTTTGAGAGTATATAAAATCTTTTATAGTACAACCCTTGGCTAATACATCAATACCATTCAATTAATTGTCCTAGCCATGTAAGGCATCTAACTTGCATTTAGAAATTATTGTTGATTTCCTTTTATTTAGAAGTCTTACGGTAATTTGAGGATTTTCCAGGAGAAAAGTTACTATTAAACCAGCATTTTAATATTACATTGCAGTTTTTCATTAATACCTTCAGCACCTGCCATCTCTTCCACAAATTTTACATTGTACTTTACTCTGGGATAATGAAATGTTTCATTTTAAATACAGTCAGACTCTAAAATAAGGAAGTCTTTAATATCAATACTATAAGCATAGTTTAATTCTGGAGAAGAGCTTCCAAGTAGGACAAGCACATACCTTGGGCTCTTTGAAAAAGCCACATTTGTGATCTTGAGCAGATCACATAACCATCTTGTCCTGTTTCATGCACTGGTATATGTCTGCTTTCTCTCTAGCTTACAAAGCTTTAACTTTAAATAAATTCACATCCTTGAATCAGAAACTCCTTTGTAAAAGGCTCTTGGTAGATGGTAATTCTTAGTGGAGGGATAGGAGCTTCTTCCTGGGGTGGGAGGATATGTCAGAATTCTGAGGGGTGGACTGGGAAGAATCTTCTCTGTTGTACATGTAGCTCTCATCTTTCAGGCCTAGAGAATCCTGTTTTATTCCCTCAGCTATTTGTCACTATTGATGACAGAGTTGATTTATCTTGGATGGTTGGGGGAATTTAGTCTACACAAATAAGGAGGCCTGACACTTGAAAATTCTCTGAGACAGAGGACCATAGATGAAAAGTAGGAAATTAGAAGAATAACAATGCAGGAGAAAAAGTGGGGATTTTTGTTGTTCTGTGAAATTTGTATTTGAAACCAAATCAGACCTACTGTGATTTTGCCATACAAACCCCCACATCAGGGCTGGATCTCTGATTTGATTCAGTCTTTTTACCTATAGATGGAGCCCTTTTTTTATTTATTCCTTTTGAAACAGTTGGGTAATGAGATAACTCTTTCAGGAGACAGTTAATATTTATTGAGAATCCAGAATTTATTAACCTCAGCAAAGTCAAATGGAATAGAGGACTCTGCCAGGTGAGCAGCAAGTGGAAATGTGTGCTCATGACTAATTATTAACTTTAATGTTTGTCCTGCAGTTTCAGGGCTGTTTTATTAGTGAATTCACTCTATTTGCTAACTTTTTTCTGTACTTTTCCAGAAAGAAAAAAACTGAAGGCACCTATGATTTACCTTACTGGGACCGGGCAGGTAACTCATAACTTTGCACCTCTTTCTGTCAGCAGGAAGTCCCTCCACTCCAGGTGGCAGTGGTGAAAGGAAAGTTGTTTCCAGGCCCACTTAAATTCCTCAGCACTGTTAGGAAAACACATCTCTGTTCCTCCTCTGTTCTGTTCATTTTTACTCTTCTGTTCAAATTCCTCCTCTGTTCTGTTCATTTTTACTCTTCTGTTAAATCTCTTCTAGTCACTAAGTAGTGAAATGGAAAGGAATTCTGTTTCTTCTGGAAAACTTGTCTGGTTATTATCATCTATTTCTCTTGAGGAGACCAGCTTTCTGTAAGGCCCATATGAACACTGTAAGAAGCAAAGGATTTGGGTCCTAGTAGCAAACACCTCTGCTGTGGGTATTTACCAGGTGGAGTCCAGCAGTGTAGAAATCCGTGAACTCTGCCATCTCTGCCATGCTGAGCTGTCATACTCTGAATTCCAGCTCTGTGTGGCAGGTGGCAGGTTGCTGCGAGTTACACCAGAGGCCCCCTACAGGTCTCCCACTTCCGGACTCTACTAAAGGAAATCTTAGGAACCAAGGGTTCACCACTGTGACCAGGGTTAAAAAGAACGATGGTAGATGTTGATCACATGCTGCTAGCCCCCCAAGGTGGATCTTAGAAAGTATCTTTTGGGGGAAAAAAAAAACAATATTAAAAATCACCCCTACCACAGACAAACTATATCTGACTAGTAATCTGCTTCTGTATATGATTTTGATAGAGATTTCTACTATGTTCTGCTTTTGAACAACTTGAGGAACTAGAAACAAGAAAAACTAAACCCAAAGCTTCCATAAGGAGAGAAATAATAAAGATCAGAGGAGAGAAAAACAAAATAGAGAATAGGAAAACAATAGAGAAAATCAATGAAACCAAAAGTTGGTTCTTCAGAAAGATCAACAAAAGTGACAGACCTTTAGCTAGATGGACTAAAAAAGGGGGGAGAAGATTCAAATTGCTAAAATCAGAATGAAAGTGGGAGCACTCCTACCAATTCTATGGAAATGCAAAGGATTATAAGACAATACTATGAAGAACTGTACACCAAAAAATTGAATAACTTAGATGAAGTGCATCAATTCTGAGAAACACAAAACCTACCAAGACTGAATCATGAAGAAATGGAAAATTGGAACAAACCTAAAACTAGTAAAGAGGTCGAGTTAGTAATAATAAATCTCCCAACAGAGAAAAATCCTGGACCTGATGGCTTCACTGGTAAATTCTACTAAAAATTTGAAGAACTAAACCTTAAAGATCCACCACAAGAAGCTACATTTTAGTGCAATAAATGCACTCAGCGAAGTGGCTGACAGAGTCAACCTGCAGAGACCAGTTACGTTCCTATACACAGTCAAAAATCTGAATGGAAATTACAGAAACTACTGCATTGGTAATAGCATCAAAAAGAGTAAAATAGTTAGGAATTAACCAAGGAAGTAAAAGACTTAATACAATGATGAAAATACTGCTAAAAGAAAAATTTAAAAACAGAAACAGAAACACATCCTGTGTTCAGGGATTGGAAGATTTAATGCTGTTAACATCACTACTACACAAAGCAGTCTGCAGATTCAGCATGAATCCCCATCACAATCCCAGTGATATTTTTGCAAAATTAGAAAAATCCATTCTAAAATTCAGGCACTCTAAATAGCCCAAACAATCTTTAAAATGAACAAAATTGGAAGACTCATATTTCCTGATCTCAAAACTTACTCCAAAGCTACAGTGGTGACAACTGTGTGTGGTGGGGGGCCAGTGTGATAGATAAAGAGAGAGATAGACCAATGGAATAGAGAGCTCAGAAATAAACCCTCATAAATATGGACAAGTGATTTTTGACAAGGGTGCCCAGACCATTCATTGAGGTAAGGACTGTCTTTTCAACAATTGGTGTGGGGAAAACTGGATATCCACATGCAAAAGAATGAAGTTGGACCCTAACCTAACACTATATACAAAAGTTCACTCAAAAGGGATCAAGGACCAAAATAAAGATCTAAAAGCAATACAACTCTTAGAAGAAAACCTAGGACAAAAGCTTCATGACATTAGATTTGGCATAGATTTCTTGATATGACACCAAATGCCCAGATAACAAAAGAAAAAAACAATTGGACTTCATGAAAATTTTTAAATTTTGTGTATCAAAAGACTATCCGCAGAGTAAAAATAACAACCCACAGAATGAAAGAAAATATTTGCAAATCATATTTGATGAAGGAATAATACTTAGAATATGTATGGACTTTCTAAAACTCAACCACACAAAAAAAAAACAATTCAAAAATAGGCAAAGGACCTGAATAGTCATTTAAAAAAAAAAATCTACAAATGGCAATGAGCGCATGAAAAGATGCTCAACTAATCATTAGGGAAATGCAAATCAAAATTACAATGAGATACCACCTCATTCACACCTATTAGGATGGTGCCAATTAAAAAAAAAAAGTGCTGGTGAAGTTGTGGAGAGACTGGAAATTGTGCGCTCTTGGTGGGAATGTAAAAAGTTATAGCTGCTGTGTAAAACACTGGTAGTTCCTCAAAAAATTAAAAATAGAACTGCCATATGATTCAGCAATTCCACTTCTGGGTATACACCTATGATAATTAAAGGCAAGGTCTCAAAGAAATGTTTCTATGCTCATTTTCATTGCAATATTGTTCACAAGTTAAAATGTAGAAACATCAACTGATGAATGTATGTGTAATATATATATATACATGCAGTGGAATAATCTTTTAATTTTTTATTGTAGACACTATTACAGATGTCCCCCATTTATATTATCTATTCTTAAAAAGGAAATTCTGCATTATGGTACAACATGGATGAACCTGAAAGACATTGTGCTAAGTAAAATAAGGCATCACAAAAAGACAAATACTATAGGATGCCACTCATATAGGGTACTTAGTTAAAATCAAGACAGGAAGTAGAATGGTGGTTACCAGGAGCTGGGTGGAGGGGAAACTAGGGAGTTACTGTTTTAATAGGTGTGGAGTTCAGTTGTACAAGATGAGGAGTTACAGAGATGGGTAGCTGTGATGTTGTACAGCAGTGTGAATGTATTTAATACCACTGAACTGTGCACTTAAAAGTAGTTAAGATGATGAATTTTGTTATGTGTATGCTACCACAATAAGAAAGAAGCTTGGCCTTGGTTGGTTGGAGCATCATCCATGCACCAAAAGTTTATGGGGTTGATCTCTGGTCGGGGTGCGTAGAGGAGGCAACCAATCAGTTTCCCTCTCACATGAATGTTTCTCTCTCCCTCTCCCTCTCTCTCTCTCTCTCTCTCTCTCTCTCTCTCTCTCCCTCCCTCCCTCCCTCCCTCTCCCCCTCTCTCTCTCCCTTCCTCTCTCTCTAAAATCAATTTTTAAAAACCCTCGGGTAGGGATTAAAAGAGGCTTGAACATAAAGGCTAGTTTGTATAGATATTTGTTATAGAAATGGCTTAAATGGAACAGGGCTTCATATACTGTCACAATTTCAGTCACAGGTTTTTATTTAATGGTCTCTTTTGCTTACGATCACAATGAAGGTTGGTGGAAAGGAATGAAGCAGTTTCTCCCTGCCAAATCAGTGGAACACGAGGAAACGCCAGTTCGCTACAGCAGTAGTGAGGTTAATCACTTGAGTCCGAGAGAGGTCACCACAATGCTGCAGACTGACTGTGCAGGTAACTACGTGGCAGCCTTCAGCCTGGTAGGAGAAACCGCTATGCTTGCTGTAAAGTGCTTTGGGGTTTGCAGTATCTTTTATGTTTTTCCTGTTTGAGAGATCAGCTACTTTCTGAAGGTAGAGCACTTTTTAAAAAGTTGATCTTGAATCATTTCTCTGCCTCAGATGTTCTAGCCATAAAATTGGGGCATTCACTTCTAAAAATTATGGACATTTTTTGCCTTTTTACCTGGAAATTTGGTTTTATTATAGATATAGAGACATTGAAAGATGAGCAGGAAAGATATAGCGAACCTTACTGTATTTATCATATTAATCTGGTATGTATTGTAAATATTCCCCCGAAATTATATTTCAATATTACTCAAATAATGGAACATTTCTTTTCCAATAAAATACTGTCTATATATCTGAAGAGTGTATACAAACACTATTTATGTAATAGCACACAAATGAGGCTTTCTGGAATATTAACTTATTACTGTACCACACAAGATAGCATCTTTCATTTAAATTTTGAAGTTAGTTCTTAACAGTGTGTTGATAGCAACAAAAGTTCCATGAAGAAGTGTTTGCTTTTGGTGTAAGCCTGAGGCTTCCGCCCTAAATTGTATAAGCTGTGTATTAGTTAGGTGACTTTCCTGTTGTTTGTCTTTCACAATATCCACAGAGTATGCACAGCCGCTTGTGGGAGGAATTGTTGGCACACTTCATCAGAGGTCTACCTTTAAACCAGAAGAAGGAAAAGAAACAGGCTATGCCGACCTCGATCCTTACAACTCCCCAATGCAAGAAGTGTATCATGCCTACGCTGAACCACTCCCAATTACTGGGCCAGAGTACGCAACCCCAATTGTCATGGATATATCGGGGCACACCACAGCTTCGGTTGGTCTGCCCTCAACATCCACTTTCAAAGCTACAGGGAACCAACCTCCTCCTCTAGCGGGAACATACAGCACTCTTCTCGCCAGGACTGATAGCTGCTCCTCAGCCCGGGCCCAGTATGATACCCCAAAAGGGGGGAAGCCAGGTCCCAGTGCCGCAGACGACTTGGTGTACCAGGTGCCACAGAGCACACAGGAGGCATCGGGAACAGGGAGGGATGGTGACAGTGGTGTTTCTAAAGAAATCCTTTGAAGGTGATGCTGCTCTTTACAAAGCATCGTTTTAAAGCACATGGCCTTTTTGTCCTATTAGTGGTAGTAATATATAGAATGTACTACATGTCTGTCATGAATGTCATTGGGGGGAAATGGGGTGACTGAGGTACAGAAACTACTAATCTTGTCATCTTGCTTTAAAAGTGTTACTGTGGCACACTTACTGCTTGCCTGTTTTGAACATCCTGTTTGTTACTACTGTAAAACACTATTTTTAACACAGAAAAAGCTCCCTGCTATGCACTTCAAAGAAATTAAAAGTCACTGAGTCAATATTTATTACCAATGCTGCAGGTACTTGTGATAAATTCAAGAAGTGGCTTTGTGAGCCTGACTGGCAATAATGCATGGTACTGTTCTTGAAATGCCTAATGGCTTGAAATTCTGTTCTTTGTGAAAGATGGGTACTGCCATGATTTCCTCCTCTCCTATCCCTGTATTGCTTTCTGGGTTTTTAAAAAAATAATGACGAGTGATAAAATCATTGTTTTGATTGCAGTCATATGTACTTGTCCATTTTTCTTAGGAGAGCTCTAGGTGAGGAACTCTGACTTGTGCTGAGCAGGGTGACTGATTTTCACTTTTTGAGACTCTTAAGTGCTTTGACATTCACGGTACATGACCTGGCCCATCCCTGCTCATTCCGCCTGGGACCCGTAGTGGCCAGCCCCATTCTTGTGTTTATAAAATGTTTGGGTTTTTTCAGGGGGTGATTACTGCTTTATCAAACCTCACAAATTCACATGTTTAAGTTTACTTCTCTATGTGGAAACAAGAACTTGACAATTTAAAAATGCTGTAAAAGAGATGCTGTTCCTCCCCTCCAACTTGATTTGCAGTGGGATTTTTCCTGAGAGAGTTGTGAAAAGTTGAGGGTGTCCAAGTAGACACTGTAAACATGACCCACTTAATATTTATCACAGTGAAAGGCAGAATCATTCTTCAGAAGTCGTATAAATTACCTTTAAAAAAAAGTAACCGGAATTTGCTCTTTCATTTTATGTATAGGTAGATTTTTTTTTCTTTAAATCATGAAGTATTCCTTATTTTAATCAAATAAAAAAAACTTTAATTTCAGTTTTCCGTAAACTGTTATAAGATCTGTAAACCCAGCGTGTACTCTTCAGCTCTGTGTGATTGTGCCTGCTGTGTGGTAAGAGGTGTGAGTAGTTCTCTGTACTGTGTCATACCTAGGGAAGAGGTGTTCCAGCATCCCAACACGGGACCTTTCACATGTAGTTCTTGATACCTCTGGGCAACTTGTTAGCGCCACTTGCCCAGAACTAGTTTTAGGTTTGTGAAATAGAAATCATCTGCAGTTTACCAGCCTGTAATGTAAAAACCATGTTTAAATGCCTTTAGACTGGCAACATGACATAAGCTAACTATGGGATTAAAATTTGACATCCCTTCTGTAAACCTTAATTTGTAGACTTAATGGAAATGTACTTTTCCATCAGGTCCAAGTCATCTTTGTTGACTTGGGCCACCAGATTATGTAGTTGCCAGAGACCAATGGTGAACAGTCTTCATTTGTTTCCTGAGTATATCAGTAATCTAAATCATTGCTGCAAAACAACTGTTTATTCCTGCAGCCTCCTTGCCCTCTACTGCACATGGTTGGTTTTATTTTCATTTGCTTTTGCTTCTCCAAATACACTATGAGGCATAATTTTATTCATAGAAAAACCAACACATACTTTGTTTCAAAACATTTGAAACCAAAAGCACAGGTATTGAACTTTTATTAGAACATACGAATGTGTGAAGCACATGTATTAATGCAGTCATCCCCTTTCAGGTGGGAAGAGAGTAAACCAGTTGCTTTATTTTTTTAATTCATCCTTAGTACAGAGAGAATATACTTTTCCTCAAATCATATACCTGAAGCTTTAAGAGAAATGTTTTCAGTGACTATTTCATTTTCCTGAAGATGCTCGCTATTTTTGTGTAATTGTGTGCACCTACTTTTCCCATGGAACTTTTTTTTTTTTTAAGAAGCCAGTGTTTTCTTAACGCGTGTTTGAAGACTTGATTCATGTTGCCACTGCGCTGGCCTTGAACTGCCAATGATTTTTACAATTACTGAGTTTTTACTACTTTTACATATTTGACTTTCCAAATGAAGAGCTGAGCCTGATACAAAGGGTTGTTCTGGTTTTGTACTTTTAGTTTGTTTTCATAGTTGAGTTTTGGGGTTTGGTGTGTATGTGTGTGTGTTTTTTTTTAACTACATTTATATATATTATATATATATATATATACAGCTTTTGGAGACAATCGAGTAACAACTGAAAATGTGAAATCAACCATTCTTTACAAAATTTCCTTGAATTTTTATTCTTTGCTTGAAACATGTAAAAGACTTAAGTCACTGTGGTTTATTGAGTTAAATGTTTTTTTCCTGTTAATACAGCTATAAAAATAGAACCAGACAATAGTACAACGAGTGTGGCCATTACATGTTTCATAAAATTACAGACTTCACTGTTCCTTGATCTGAGGAACCAGCACAGTTGAAGATAAGGTATTGTGGATGCTGATTATATTTTATTGAAAGCTGTAAATCCAAATAGACCCTTTTGTATGCAGGGTCTAGTCCAGTTATTTAAGTTCATGTCTCACTGTTTGCACTTTGCATTGAGCAATGGGTTTAGTTCACTGATGAAATGGTTCTGGTAGAAAAATTATATAGTAACTGAAAACACGTTGTGTGTGTACTTGCCCTTGCCCCCACAGGGGGAGGGGCAGAAAATGAGCTCATCTAATATTTACGTGGCTAAAATTCCATGGGAAGTGATAAAGCTTGAACTTACTGCCTTGGCTCCATGTCGTCATCTGGAGAACAAATGGGCTATAGCAGCACCATGTCAGATGACACAATTAGAAAGAATTAATAGATTATGCTTTTCAGACTTTAAGAGAGATCAGTGAAAATCAGTGAAGCTCTACCTGAAAGTTACCTATTAGCTCTGCCTTTCAGTTCTGAACTGGAAGTCCATAAACTGCAAAATCTAAGAGTTGGATGGTTATTAAAATACTTTTTAGGTCATATGTGGCCCCAGTTCTCATTTAATCCAACTTATGACTAGTTTCTTCTCTCTCTTTTTTTGTTCCATTTGTTTGGCACTAGGAATGGTGGAAACAAAACATATTGAAATACATATTGGAAATAAAAATGGCTTGAGTATCAGTGATATTCTCCCAGAATGTACTTTTCTTACCTCGGCATGTACTGTAGTCACTCAGTATTTGTATATGTTGCTAGAATTTAGATTGTATAAACAGATTTTAATGTGTTCATGTGTTTTAATAAATTGTATATATGTGTCCTGCTCAGATTTTTTTTTTAGGCTTAACTAAAACCACCTTGCGATTTATACCCTTCCTTATACTACACAAAATGCCAGATTCCTCAGTTTTAATATCAGTCAAAAATTTTTATGGCCAATATTATAGTACACACAGTAACATCTAAATGCGCCACCATTGGTTTTTGACTTTGACTTTTTCTGTAGGCAGCAGTATTCTTGCCGAAGCTGGAATTACTTCACATCAAACTGAACTTCAACAGCCAAGCTGCAGCCTCTGGCTGGGCGGTGTGGTAGGAGGGAAAGGTCACACTAACACGTGGACTCCAGTCTAGTGCCGGCCTTTCCCACCGCAGAGTTACTAGGAGAATCACATGAAACTGGTACTGTGCAAATGTATGCTATTAACAGAACGTCATCCCCATTTTTAATGTCTGGATCTGGCTTAAATTGACTACTGACTTTCTTCCCTTCCCCTGCTTTGTCAGTACTTCATTTATTCCTGTTTCTGGTCTAATATTTCACCCTTTATACACTTTCTTCAGAGAGGCTGGTTGGTTTTCAGTAACTTCAGCATCTCCTAGTGATACTAATTTGTTCAACTCATATCTCTTCTGATACCTTATAACTTCTGTTATCTTCCCTTCTCCTTCACCACTTATCCCCCACCCCACCCCACCATAGCCTTGAGTCATACACATTACAATGGGAAGGCAGACCAGCTCACCACATTTGTAGGGCTGGCTCGTTTGCAACTTGTAGGATTCTTCTCTGGTGAACCCCAAGTAGCCAGGGAAGCTTTCCATTTGAAGATGAAAGATGAAAATACCATTTAGATCCAAAAATACCTTGATTCTTCTTAAGGGGTTCCTTACTTGTGCCTTTCTCATCTTTCTAATTTACTTCAAATAGTAAATTTTTAAACTTAATGAATTAAACCAGGCAACACACAAAGTTTAAGGATTTTCTCCTTGAACGTGTCTAACTCAGCTTCTTTGTATAAACTTTATTTCTTTGAAATAACGCAGTTGCAAGACTTTAAAAACTGCATTCTTTGGTTATTTACTCATCTAGAATTTCATGGTTAGTCTATTTCCACTTAAAAACTACCATCTTCTACCTAATTACTCATTATAATCGTGGTTTACTTAATTGCAGGACAAAAAGCCTAATTATACCATGTGATCTTAGATTTCCATTACCATCTACACTGCTGTATTCAGAGCTGGTTCAACATTCAAATCAGGTCCCTTAAATAAAACAAACTAGGCAGCCATCCAGATATAGACCTGAAGTGCTTCTGGTTTGCCACATCAAGACTCGGCCACATGCCAGTTCCCCCCAATTTATTAGTAGCCATATCTCCTCTTGTACTTCACTTTGTTGCAGTGAATTTACATTCCCATACTTACTAGGAAATCACATCCCTTCAAAAGTTTAAGATGAAATAACTAAAAAGATGTTTAAAAACACCTCAGGAAACTAGCTTATTTTGATTAAAATGCAATTACAACTTCTTTCCCTGATATCTTAATATCTCTTGGTTTTCATAAATTAAATATAGTCATAGAAATTAAGCTGGTGGTTATGAATCACCAGGCAGCAATAAGCTTAATGTACAGGGTCCAGCACAAATAACGCCCCCCTTTTATTACAAAATAGTAAGCATGTAATTCTGTAATATAACAATATCACCCTCAAGTACACCATATGACATTTTAGGTGAAATGTTCAAATTAAAACTATAAATTACTACACGCATATGGTCCCCAACATATTATCGCCCTACCAACCACATTCAAGCAGACATTACTTCTGCCGGACCCTATACCTCATTTCTTGACAAGTACATACATTTAAAAATAAAGTTGCAGTATAAAAATAAAACTATACTGTTAGTATTATCTTCTCTTTCTGTAGGGTCAATCTTGAATCAAGTTGACTACAAAGTTCTTTTCTGTAATGTCCTTCAAAAAGAGCTGTTCTGCAGTCACATTGTGATATGCACTCTAGAAGATAAAAGTGAAAATCACCATTTATCCCAATCTCAGACAACAGCAGCCATGGAATATGCTGTATCTAAAAAACTTCTGAATGAAAACCTCAAATATGGCAAGTGGCTGGGATTTAACTTGTGTTAACCTTTCTAATTTACTCTTTTTTGTTCATTCTTGTGCCAGAGCTTTCCCAAAAGTCCACTTTTTTCACTTAAACCATCACATAGAGGCTCCCTCACATCACCCTCTCGTCTACTGAATCACGGCAGAAGTCTAGATACCAAAATTGTAAATCCAAATGGGTTGATCACTTTGATAAAACCTTCACCTAGAACTCATGTTTAAAAAAAATTACCCTACTCTGTTGATGGGTAGCCTGACTTCCCTCGGGAAGGTGTTTTGACGTACTGTTCTTTAGGTGACTGGAAAGACCAAACGCACTGCAGGAAAAATTAGGGCTGAGAAGAAACGAGCCTGAAGTCTGTCCAGGCCCCTAATTACTCAAGTGTATGTCTGGTGTCATAAGGGAGGGCACAAAAAGGCAGTGTTAAGATCTCTAACCTGAATAATTCCACTTCTTCAGCATACATAGCATTTGGAGATGGTGAATTAAAAGGACTGTGATTTCATGGGATGTAACCATATACTTCATGGAAATCACATTTCAATATTAAAAATGTACAGATAACACCTTAATCCTATCACTTAGGTTGTGCCACTAATCCAAGTTAGAATTAGGAAAATAGAAAACTCCTTCCCAGTCTGTTAAATAAAAAATTGAAGAATCAAATCAACTACCATTGACCCCTAATTCAAGAGAAGCATGATCTACTATTAAAAGATTATAACCTTTCTGGTCATGAGGATTCTTTCATGGAGTTAAAATGTTATAGACCTGCTTGTCTATTTAACTGAACAAATGAAAATAATTACTTTGGAAATGGCAATGCTTTTAGGTGAATTTGTAATATCTCCAGTGCACTACCTATATGTATATTTAAATAGTGCAAATTTGGGACAGTATCTAAGATAAGGCTTGGTCCCTATGTGGGTTTGATGACACTTGACAAAAACAGATTCTCCCAAGGGTCTGAGGCCCACAAACTGGGAATTGCTACTGTAGAAAAAAACTCTGGACTTGAGCCCTAATTTCTGCACTTGGTAGCTCTGTAACCCTATCAAGCCCTCAGCCTCTCAAAAGCTCTTCACTCAGGAAAATGACAGGGTGAGAAAAGAGAAAATGGGCTTTTCAACTCTAAAACTCAAAGATTATAACACACATATATATTACCTTATTCATCAAAGACATGGTGGCATTCCCATAGTAGTGCAAAGGACTCTGGAGGTCAGAAAAGTTGTATTTAAAACCAGCAAGGTGAACTTCATGACATATATGAAATGCCAATGTGATGGCAATAATTCCGGTTGTTGGGTGTTTGGGCTTCTGGGGAAGAAAATTAAGATTTTTCTTAAAATCCAAATGAGACACTTGTTTCCAAAGCCTATGTGGGTGTCCTAATCTTACAAATCTTATCATCTAACTAGCTCTAGGGAAAGACTAACGTCAACCAAGTAACTTCAATGATAAGTTGTACTATACTAGTAAGTATCTCACTAGAAAACAAGGATTCCAGACATAAGCATAGTAACATCACAGTCTCAACTGGATCCTTATTAATTTAAAGACAAAAAAAATCACTTATACATACATTTAGAAAGTGTGCTATAACAGGTGTTTGATGGGAAGCTCTTGCATTCAAAGTTTTAATTCTCAGTAGCATGGCCTTCAAAGGCACAAACAAAATGTATCAAAGGGTTGGTTTATTTTTGGTTTGGGGGGGGCGTTTAGAGGAAGAGGGAAAGAGGGAGAGAAACACTGATGTGAGTGAAACATCGATTGGTTGCTTCTTGTACCCACCTCAATCAGGAGACTGAACCCACAACCCATGCATGTGCCCTGACTGGGAATCAAACCTTTACCTTTGTGGGATGAAATCCAACCACCAAGCCACACCAGTGAGGGCTGTATCAAAGTTTTATCACAACAATTCAAGGAGGTTTCCTTTTGATTAAATGTTTTTTACAGGGCCCATGGAAATTACATGTGACTAATCAGGATTTTGAGGAAGGAAAAGAAAACCAAAGAAGCACAATACAATCAGGTAAACATCGGGAGGCAAAGAAAGCCTAACAGTCTTTCATACAAGATTTTCTTTACCCCATGCACTACCATGACTTCACCACCATCCTCCACCATATGCTGGAAAAGGAGGGTTGTGGCTGGGTTAGAGACTCACCCATCCAACTTCACTGACGGATCCCATCTCTGTTTCCATCTCCTGTGCCTCCCCACGTCCTGACTTCCTTTCATCACACCTTAGAGCACTTAGTTATGATTATTCCCTTCAATTCTCTGGCACCTGTTACCCACAGAACCTGCATTATACCTGACAGAATCTTAATCCTGGTTAAACCCACACTCAATCAGCAGAACGGGGCAAGAGAAACAACGTACTTCCCTGGCCACATGTAACATTTATGACCAAAGTTTGAAGCAGGCGTTCAGTTGGTCCAACAATCCAATTCCATCCCCTAGTAAATTTCCGTTCCTACTCTCCAAGATGACAGTTTTAGTCCTCTCTCCTCCAACAGTCCTAGCCTTCCTCCTACTTGAACAATTTAATCCTAGTTTCCTAAAAAGAAAAAAAAAATCACATAAAAACTACATCATCTTCCCTACTCCAAATCTACCTTTGTACCCAAATCTTCAGCACTTACTCCTCTTAACGGGGCTGAGGTAGTCCCTGTTTCCGCCTACAGCCAGCTCCTCCATGAGTGCACCCGCTTGTCACATCTCACCACCACTACTCTGCCGCTGCAGTCAGCCACTTCCTCCACACTCTTCCTTCTGCACACAAACACACCCTTAACAAAATCTCTCCTTGATCCTATGTTCTCTTCCAACCATTTCTCTGCTCCCTCCTAGCAAAACCCCATTAAAGATTTGCCTCTGCTGCTTGTGTCCCGTGTCCTCTTTCATCTGTTTTAAATGGGCTTTCTTCCTTTATTCTAGTTCATACGCCCTGTATGACTCCACGTTTCCAGAACCGGGGTTTACTGTGTGTGCTCAGGCTCTGCATGGCACCTGACCTGGGCGACCTCTCTAAAATACAGCGGTGTCCTCATTGGGCTCCTGGGACACCTGTCCTCCTGGGACACCCTGTCCTCCTGGAACTGTAATCTAGTTACAGCTAGTTCCAGTACCATCTCTAAGTAAGACCACGGTCTCCTGCGCTTTCGGAGTTAAGACGCTGCCTAAAACCAAGCACAAGTGATAAATCTGATCTTACCTTTCAGGGAAATAAGACCTGAGAAGTTATAAAACATATTCATACACTCAGAAGCCTTTTCACCTCAGAATTACTAAGAAATTATTAAAAATCTATCCTTTCCTCTCAATACTAAGAAACAGGGTTTAAGTTTCAACACACATTTTTTGACTTGGAGATTCCGCTTTGAGGGTCTATCCCACAGAAATCATACAAGTGTGCAGAAAACCCCTGTAAGCACAAGCATCTCTCTGGCACCCATAGAGGGAAAGGCTAGCACAAATCTAAAATGTCTCTCAATAGGGGAATCATTGATTAAGTGGAGGGGAAATAGAACTATATCTATGGTACAATTATAATTATATTGAACAAAAAGTGTATGTGTTCATAAATACATAGAAAAGTCTAGAAGGATATAAAAGGCAAAAAATCTCAGGAGATAATGTGAGTTATTGAGGGAAAAGAAGGATATCCTTTTCTTAAATATCCCTTTGTACTTGATTTCAAGCACGTAATACTTAAGAATTTTTTTATCACTCTAAAGAAAAGACACATGACGTGTGTTTCTTGGGATTTTCCCTGATTCCCAAAAGATAAAGGAAAACCCCCATTTCCACGGTGAGAATATGTTACACAGTAACTCAGGCTTCAAGTGAAAACACACCTCTGCCACTGTAAAGACCTAGGCATCATTTTCCAGGGATTGCAGACACACGGAGCCACTAAAGTCATAGTCGATGAGCTTTCTTTTAACTAAAGAATTGGGAGTTTCAAGAACTCTCAATATTGCTGTAACGACCACTTTCTGAGAAACCAGTACCAGTGTCTCCTCTGTGACCACAGCAGTATCTCTGAGCTACCTTACTGTCCTTCCTCACCTTTCCTCTGGTTTTCCTGTGATATTTCTGTTACAGGTTGCTTCAGACCACTCTTTTTAGCCTAAAAGCCATGCACTGTCCTGAAACTTGTCCTGCAGCTCCGAACACAGCCCACCCCCAGCACCCACCAGCTGCAGAACGTTGAAGACAAGGTTATCAGAGGTGAGCCATCTGGGCATCCAGATGGAGCCCCCAGAAGGGCCCCCACAAGGACAGAAAAAGCCTTCACTAAGGGTTCTTTTGCTTGCAACCTGAAAATAACACAAAGATAATATCCACAGATATCTAATTTCAGTGACTCCAACGAGGCCCTCAGAAGCCACCTCATGCATGAGTCTCAGTTCTCATAGTTTCCAAGACGCACCCCTTGAGTTCCCCTGGTCTATACTAGCCAGAGTTTTAGTTTGAAAGAGTGCACCAAAATACGTACCTGATTTTTGGGAAACACTTTTGGAAAATGAAGCAGCTCATAAGCTGCCATTCTGATAATGAAAGGATCTAATATTCTGATTTGATATGGTTTGTAGATCAGGTTTAAGGCTGGTTTCTTCCAAAAACTGTTAGTGTTCTGAAATAAAGAATATAAAAAATAAAACTTAGTAGTTGTCGTTTTCATGGGGAAAAAAAACCTGAAGGTAATCAGAAGGCAGATCAATGTGCCAACTTACTATTTTGCCGCCGGTCAACAATTCCCACAGCCACTTTAAATCATGCGGCTTAAAAGCCGTGAGAATCACCGTAGAATTGGGATCATTGTGTTTGGGATCTGAAAAAACAGATTCTGGATAAAAAAGTCGGAAGGTTGTCCTTCTCCCAACTTCCTCTTCGTGTCCTACAATGGGACCGTCGTTCATTCTGTGGAGAGTAAAACACCAGCCATGTAGACCACCAGCAGCGTGGGCCACCTCCACCTCAGCCCCCAGAGTCTCAGAGTGGGTCAAACCACCCACCATGCGTCCAGTCCTCTGAGGTGCAGGCAGTCCATCAACCTTTCACACAGAATGGCCGAGAAAATAACTCCCTTTTCTGAAACAGCTGCTTGATCAAAGCACAAACTTGTGCTTGTATTTGGAAGTGAATTGCAGTGGGGCACTGGTAATTGAGCCTTACCTCCAGGAAAGCTGAAGGCTAAATAAGACAAATGTGAACCTAAGAACCTCAACAGTAGAATTAAAAGAGGACTTGGAAGACACTCCAACAAAACCTCTTGAATTTACAGATAAGGTTCGGAGGCTGAGGTTCGGAGAAAGCTACTTGCCAGCGTTGCACATTCATGTAGCATGCAGATGTGTGTCTAAGTGACTGACAGGCAAGAGTCACATTGACGATGAAGACCCATCAAAACCATTATGCTCTGAAATTAAGTAACAACATACAATTGCTGTATATACCCCACCACAACCAGATGAGCACCTACGGCTGGAGGGAACTAAATAAAGAACCACAGGGGACCTGCTGGGTTTGCGTATGCTCAAAGCCAAGGTTGGATTTTGCACATGCTATGCAGGCATGCTATGAAAAGGAATGCTTTGTTTCCAAAACATTGTTCCAAAGGAGAATAAATACTATTGTACCCTTTGCTGCTGACTCTGTGTAAGAAGTCAGTCTTAACGCTTGAAACAACTTTCATCATGTCCCCATGGCATTTCCCCCAAGGGCTTGCTGTGGCTCCCTTATTCCTGTCTCTGCTCTCATCTAATACATTAACAGACCCTGATAACACTCCCTCTGAAACACATCTCAGTCTATCCACTCTCCTCCTCTGCTAAGACAACCCTGTTCCCAGTCACCATCACCTGCCTGTATATAGCAACCTAACCGGCCTCTTCACATCCACCCTTGTCCCTCATATTCCATTGTTCATGCCACAGTCAGAATGTTTCGAAGGTAACCAAATCAAATTGCTTTCCTGCTTAAAAATCTTCAAAGGTTTCCTGTCATACTTCAAGTAAAATCCAGGCTCGAATGCTAGCTTACACAGTGTAAGCCTGGCTTGCCCACCCCTCTCTCCCAGCCTGTGCCCTTCAGCCTCACTGGTTTTCTCGTTCAAACCCAGAGTCACGTCCTCCTGAGGACCTGCAGGAAGCATTCCCTCCATCTACACTGCTTTTCCCTGATCTCCACAGGGCTAGCTTTGATTGGTCACTTGGTCCAGCTTAGATGTCTCCTCTTCAAAGTGGCCATCCATCCTAAAGTAGCCACTCAACCCTTATCACATATTTTGAATTGTATGTATGGCACTTATTACTATATTTCCTTATTTAATGACTGTTTTCTTCCCTTATTAAATTGTAAGCTTCACCGAGAACAAGAACATTGTTTATTTACTGCTATATCCCCTGTGGCTAGGATGCCTGGCATATTAAGGGAACTTAATAAACATTTGCTAAGCGAGTGGCCTGAAATCTAGCCTTACTCTGGCCGACGGCTGGGAGACAGAGTTGTGCAATGCCCTGAAGATCAAAGAGGTCCCTCCTCCTCCTAAAGCACAGCTGTCCTCAAGTAGGAAACCACATTCTTTTGAAACCATTCCAGTTTAGTTAGCAAATAAGAAATATTTACCTTATTATTACATCATAGGAGTCAATTTTTTCTCCTAATGTCTTATTCTTCAAAACTCCTCCGTTACCAACCACCACGCACTTTTTACACGGCACACTGTCGGGCAAACAGACAAGTGAGAGATTGAGTCATCAGTGAAAACACTGGATGAGCGCAAGAACCCATTCATACTTTCAGGAACTCAAAGCCAAATTTCACTTACTGCAAAGCAGAAATACAACCAACTGTGACTTACAGGTCTAAGGATGGATTAGAAAGACACAAACTTCAAGAAGAACAATCTGTAGGTAGGAAGTACATCATCACTATCAACTATTAACTCTTACCAGCCCACTCATGTTTCCTCATGTGATTCTCATAACCACCCACTGAGAGAAGTAATCCTGATAGTTCCATTTTACAAATGAAGAAAGAGGTTCAGAAAACTGTTAGGTAACATTTCAAAGTCATACTCTGAAGAGATACAAGACCTTGAATAGAATTTGGATCCAGATCTTTGAGCTACAAAAACCCCCCTCAACACAGGATTCTGTGTGTTAATATTGATGCCCATGTGTTTTCACAGTACCTGTGTATACAGTTTTCACAGTGTCACCCATTTCCCTGCGCTTCTCCCTCTGGGTTGCTACTGTATCTACTGTACTGTATATGAGTGTACAGACAGGCTGGAATCAGGTGGGGACAGTGCAGCTTCTTTGTACCTGCCCATGTCTCCTAATTTCCCCAAATACATACTAGTCCTTCCAGCTTAACCAATATAAATTAAAAACTCATTCTGTATTCCTGGCAAGGGGCTTTCAAGTAGGGCACAGTGTGACCTCCTGTTGCTGGCTGGGACCAGCCAAGGACCCGGACTGGATCCCGTCAGCTTTCAGCACAGCCCATCTGTCTCCGGGCTCCCGCCACCACCCGGCCGGACCCCAAGAAAGGACAAGGCAGGTTGTGTGGTTCTCCTCCAGGGATGAAGCTACAGAAGGGAGGGCCGCTGAGACCACCCTCAGGCCATGGAAGTATAAAGAAAAGACTTTTTCCAGGAACCAGAGAATCAGCACACTAGATGAACTCCAGACTGTAAGGCTTTTAGAAAACGCCAAGCAGCAAAATTGCACAAATGCTGTAGAATATTTAAACAGAGAATGCACTAGTACAGGAACCACTAAAAAATGCCAGGTGTTGGCCCTGCCATGTTAGGAAACAAGGTGCACATTCCTATATGCGTAAGTTTACCTGTTATATTTAGAATTTGTTTAGCTCATCTATTTGATATTTTCAACACTAAATATTTTAAGAATACTTTTTACATGCTTTAATTTGAGACGCTTAGCTCCCAAAATTTAAGTCATGTCCAAACCAGTGTCTACTTTGTTACAAAAATAAGAAGACCCAGAGTGTCCCAGGTGCAGGGTCTAAAGGGGTTGGCGGGGCAAGGCGGGTGGGGGACGCTGTCCCACAGGCCTTGAGGACATGCCACAAAACCTCTATCATGGAGATGTCACGATGTGTTCTAGAGATGTTTATTTTTAAACTGTTGGTCTTTAACTATGAAAGTAACATCTCTAGATGCTTTTCTATGTGAGTTTGACATTCTTCCTAATTCCAGGAAGGCAACTTTGTCAACAGTGCCCTGCTCTGAAGCCAGGTGGAGGGCTGGAGCCCTGATAAACATTCAAATCCCTTCCCTCACCCAGGCAGGTGTGGCTCAGTGGGCTGGGCGTTGTCCTGCAAACCACGAAGGCCACCAGTTTGTTTCCCCTGTCAGGGCCTGTGCCGGGGTTGCAGGCCAGATTCCCGGTTGGGGGCGTGTGATAGGCAACTGGTCCACTCAGTGTTTCCCTCCCTCTCCCTCTCTTTCTCCCTCCCTCCCTCCCCTCTAAAAAATAAATAAAATCTAAAAAAAAAGAGAAAGAAAACAGGAATATTGCCATGCTCCTGACCAGATCCATCCATGAATGCTCTGTAGCAATTCCCACACACACAGCTTATTTGATCTTTCCTTCCATAACTTTGGGGTTGGCTTAATGCAAATGAGGCTGAACTTGAAGCTGGCTCCATCACCCCAGTGGAATGCTAAGCATACTGGGCAACAGGCAGGCAGTCCTAGGAATGGACAGGATCAAAATAACAGCTGTGCTGTTGCCAGGTAAGCTTCCCAGGGGTGAAGGGGAATATCTCTAATTATGGTAGCTAGATGAACACTGTGCTTCGAATGAAGGCTGAGGCCACCTCCCTGTCAAGGGAAAGGGCAGACTTGCCCTGGGGTCAAGTGACCCCAGGGCTACAGCTTCCATCCTGGTGTGGGGCCCCCAGCCTGACCCAAGCTGCCATCACCAACATGCCATGGTAGGAGCAGGAGCACAGGCCACCAGCACATCTCAGGGTTCTTATCTTGGGAGTCTCCACAAAGGACTTCCGACACCAGTAAGGGGTTAGCTCAGCTCAGTTCCAGACACAGCAGTGACATAAGCATTGCTTGGCGGTGGACTGACAGGCTGAACCTTGGTGCTCACAGGAGTTCCCCTCAGTGTTATCTGTATCAGACCGGATTGCAGCTGGTCATCAAGCCCTAGATAATGTGTGGCCAAAGGAGCCACACATAATAAAAGCTGCCATCTGTCATATTACTATGTCCCATCCCTGCCCTGGCTGGTGGGGCTCATTGGGACTTTACCGGAAAAGTCCCTCATTGACTGTGAATGTCTCAGCTTAGTGTTCAGAGGACAGGAAAAAAAGCAGAAGCTTCCCCTGGCTGTGGGGAACCACCCAAAAAATTTGGGTTCTGCCAAAAATTCCAGAGCCCCAGGACCGAGTGCCCATCCTCACAGGAAGCACCTCTAAGCACAGCCACATGTGTCCTCCCCTCTCCTCACTGAAACCGAGGCTCCAGGAGCTCACAGGTTGTTGTTTGTTCTGTTTGCTAACAAATCCCAGCACCTGTGCCTGGCACAGATCCGGTCCCTGCATGCATTTGTTGAATACGTGAATAAATCCAGCCACATCCTTTTACAGCTGATGGGGGCAGCTGGACAGGCAGGCTGTGCCTCTGCCTTCTCTGCATGGCGTTTGTGTCTCCAAACTGTCATGGTGACCTGCATGCTAGATGGCCTGGGAAGACCCCCACCAAAATCCCAGTGGGTACAGAACTGCTTTACGGCATCAGATGACGTGCCCAACTCCTGGGCTGCTCAGGTATGAATCATCTCTGCCCTCTTCCAGGATTAGTGTTGCTGCAGGGACCCAGAGGGTCCTAGCGGGTGTCTCAGCTGTCTGGATTAGGGATCCCTTTCCTCCGAGAGTGGACCAAGCTGGAAGGGTAGGTCCCAGGTTAGTGGGAGCAGAGTGCTGGGAGCATCCTCACCGGAACGTCCACCTCTGGGCTCACAGTGGGTGGGGAAGGTCACCTCCTCCCAGGCCCGACACACGCTAGTCCCTGATTGGTAAAGGAAAAAACAGAGCATTTCTACATCATCTCTGTTCCCTCCCACCATGCTATGGACTAAACTGTGCCTTTAGCCTGTTCATCTGTTGAAGCTCTGACCTCCAGCACCTCTGAATGTGACTGTATTTGGAAATAGGGTCTTTGAGTAGATGATTAAATTGAGGTCATTAGGGTGGACCTTAGAGAACCCCAATTCTAAACATGCTTTACAGATCAATAATCATCACATTTTCAGAAATTTCACTTTCTATTTTCTTCTGTCAGCTTGGAAGGGGGCAGATGGAAGGTGAGAAGGCCCTTCGCCATAGGAAAAACTTTGCCGGTGCCTCCAAAAGGAAGCCTTGTCAGTGAAATTGCACTTTTCACTGCGTGTTCTCCTGGTAAGGGATATTGCAAAGACCCACACATTTCCCTGGGGTTCGTACATAACACTAGAAATGGTTTTAGCCCCTGGTTGGTGTGGCTCAGTGGGTTGAGCATCGTTCTGCAAACAAAACGGTTGCCAGTGCAATTCCCAGTCAGAGCACACGCCTGGGCGGCAGGCCAGGTCCACGCCCCCCACCCCCAGACCTCACCTGCCAATTGGAAACATGTGAGAGGCAACCGAATGATGTTTCTTTCACATCAATGTTCCTCTCCCTCTCTTTCTGCCTCCCTCCCCATCTCTCTATAAATAAATAAATAAATAAGTAAGTAAATAAAATATTTTTTAAAAAAAGAAAGAAACAGTTTGGGGGGTAACCCTAGGACTACTCTTTGGCAATAATATCTTATCTACAACAAGTGTTCACCATGTTGCCATGACTCTGGGAAATATGTAACACACCAACACATGGTCTGAACCACACTAAAGGAGATCATTCTGCGTGGCATGGGCCCAGCTCCCACTCAGAGATGCACAGGACCCACGCCCATGGACAGGCTCTCCCATGGGGAATCAGGCCTGCCTTGTACCTAGGCCGCTTTGAGACTTCCTTTTGCTAAAACGCCCTCCCTGAATTGAGGCAGCAAGTGCTTACTGTAACTTCCTAAAGTCTGCACTAAACCTCCTAAGGATGAGTGTAACCAGTTCAACCACTTTTCCCTTTGCATTTGCAAATATCCTTCTTCTGTGATGTTATTAGCAGCATCCTCTCCTTTGTTTTCTGTAAAAGGTAACCACCTAAAGCCAACCTGTGCATAGTAAATGAGGACCATCATGTAATGTGCCCAGAAAAGAGATAAAGGCTGGTCAAGGAAACAGCCGAGGCTTTTTCTCCCCTTGAGAGAGAAGCCATGTCATCCCTTTTCCTCCACAGGACTCGGTAGTCCCTGTGAATTTATCATGTCTCATCCACAGTGTGGTGGACCCCAGGGGGTAGGGTCCGCATCACCACATGCCTCGAAACTCGTCACTTCCCTCTCTCCCCTGCAGGTACCCACCTACCACCAAAGGAGTGATGCATTCTCTCCCTGGTTTCAACCACCTGGGCTAGGTTCCCGGCTTTCCCTGCTTCCCTAGATGTGAAACAATAACTTCCAGTGTCCTTTGGGTGAGTATCTAACTTCATCATCCATATTTAATTAACACAACTTTCATGCACAAATAGCCACAGTGAACTGTGTGTCCCTAGGAGACAAGAATAGTATTATTTGTATTTCTTTAGTCTCCAGTCTAAAA